CACGCGTTATAACGCGTTGCAACTTGTGAGAGCATTAAATTGCAAAAGAATGACGAGCACTAAAACCGTTATCTAAATAAAAGTGAAAGATAAACGCCGAGGGACAAGATGGAATGACACCCGACTTTCACTGGGATTGGTATAGTAAATAATCTTTCAGAACCCGCGGAAGAGGAAGCGAGTCGATTGCATTTCCCTTGGTATACTGTAGTATAGCATCACGGCAGGCACTCTGTAGGGTGGATACTGCTGAAACATACGATTGTTAAAAAGACAGATGAGAGTACTGGTAGAGACGTCACGTCGAAAAAGTAATCTAAACTTACCACCATACAATTGAACTATCCTGACTTGTTTGGTAGTACCGTACACATCTACTACTGCTCGCAAGGGTCCTGCCTTGTAAGGTATATCCTTCACGCAAACTCCTTGGTCTTCTCCATTAATTATAAAGTGCATTTCTGCCTTGTCAGAGCCAGCCTGCGGCACATACATAATTCCAATACGACTCCCAGCATCCATGGGTAGGATATTTTGAAAAGAATCAATTGTGTTTGGTCTAAGCGCATTCATTGGAATAACTCCTCGAGATGTCTGAACATTAATACCATCGGTAACTAATTTCTTTTCTCTAGATGGTATTCCTTCACCTTAAAAAACAACAATTTCATTGATTAGTTATTATTAAAGTATATTATTAAGAGCTGAAAAGTTGTTACTACTACTTAAAAGATGTAACGCATTCAAGTAAACGAATTCTCACTGTATCTCATGATTCCTAAGCATCCCGATATAGCATTAGTACTGGTAATAGCGAACACCCACGTGTTGCCTAGCTTGACCAGATTAGGTAGCGCGAACATTGGCAGGCTACCATTCATAGAGCCAGGATCAATCAAGGTGAGCCCAAGTCTCATGTGCCCGCTCCATCCTCCTTGGGTCCTCTCAATCTCTACCAGAAAGATCTCCCCCGGTTGCAAGGGTTTCTCGCTGAAAGCCAGGGAATTGGCAAAGCTGGTAGTACGATAAGCTACAGTGCTGTCTTCCATGAGCACAATGTTCTCCCCATGAGTGGGATGAAACCTTGTCAATATTTTCCTAGATTTCTCAGCCATTGCGAGGCTGAGACTAAGGAGGTTTCGATCCCTAGGACCGGTACTACGAATTTACGTTGTACGGGTTTGTCTTATCGAGAAACTTCATTGAGGAAAATCGATGGAAAAAGATCACCGGGGACACCAACACTCGGCAGAACCAAACGTGGATACACCGTCCGCGAGAAATGTTCGGTTTAAATGACACATTGGAATAGTTTCGACAGCTTACATGGTTGCTCCGTTTGTTCAGCGGCTGAGAAAATGAGGTTGGGTATACATCGCAATCGTATTTTTGCCGAACGTGAAACCAAATGGTTGTACAATTATGCTAATCTGCTGTACAGTCCTGATAAATGGCTATTTTAAAAATATTTCACGGAGAACTTCAGTCTTAGACGAGAACAAAATTTAACACAAAGGGGCACTAGTTTGATAGTATAATAACTTGAAGAAAGAAGTAGAAACAGCTGATTGGCTGCGCTTACGCCAGTACCGTATCGTAGACTCGTCGAGCCAGGAGTGTATGGAAAATAAAATAATAATTTTACACGCGATACAAATTAAAACTTATTTTTATGGCATAATCTTGATGATTTAAAAATCTTTAATTTTCCTGATTATATTTGCCAATCAATTCAATATTATTGCTATTTTATTTACAAGATTGACGTTAGGGTAGTTGACTAGAAATCTATATACTTCTTCCACGTTTCAGATAACAATTAAAAAAACAATTTAATTAATTTTATTTCACTCGAAAACTCCTCTTAAATAATATACCCAATTAATATGCGAATGATCGCGATCAGTACAATATATCAGAAGCTTTCCTGCAACTGGATACTTTTCCATAATTTCCTTCTCTTCGTTACCAATTAGTTTCACTTTAATATCGATGTGCTAAAAGAAAAAATATTTAATTGAAGAATCTTCATAATATTATGAAGACTCATTCGAAACCTACTTTTTTCGAATCCAAAGTAGCCGACTGTGTTTCAACCGCGAAACTTGTGGGAACGTCAACGACGAAGTTGAAAGTTTTAGTTTCTTTAAAAATATTCTTGAAGCGTATCAATATTGGTGACTCCTGCGAGACGATGTACGGTCCGCAGGGTTTTGGCACAGAGGAGGTGCCCATCAAAGGAAACCTACAAAGGAATTGGAAGAATTTATCGAATTATCCGTTTATCTTCCGTCATTCATTCTTTTACACAAAGATTCCTGCAGTCCTCGAAGAGGCGGTTAACGTGGCAGCTACATTTTCGATGCAGTACGGCTCGAAAGTGACTTCTATCGTTCCCTTACTAAACTCTGATACTTCGATCTGTTTTCGTGTCGCAAAGCAGTCGTTATCCACCTAGAAATCAGTGTAAAATATAACTTAACAATTTGAACCACTTGAAAATTTGTATTTTACAATTTTTGGAATTGCGAAGGTACTTTTGTGAGAAGTTTTAAAATAAATTCATTATTTTATCATTAATAAGTTAAACTGTATGGTTTTTACTATCTAACCGGAAATTAGAATCTGAGAATATGTCGTCTAAGGATTAACCCCTTGCCGTATGATTTATTTCTCAACTATGACAACTACTTTGCCGTTAATAATTTGTCGGAAAAAGAGAAAAATTCTAGGCATACTCTAAAGTATAATTACTGATAACAGAAGAATAATATTTGAATTCAAAAGGATTGTAATATTTGCCCTTTGCAAATTCTCTTTAACCCTTTGCGGACGAAGATTCTTCGAAATATACGAAACCTCCAGCAGATGAAGTTAATTTATACATCGATTGCTTAAATAATAGAAAGAGTTGTTGAAAAAGAAAAAAAAATTTTAAATTAAACATTTTTTTGTTAATTTTTTCTCTTGCTGTTTGAATAATTGAATCATTTGTTTGCGACTTACTTTTCTAAATATGGACATTTCATCTCGCAATGTCGATATTCGTCAAAATCTCCGCGAGTCTGACGCGTTCTTATAAGGCAAGGGGTTAAATCAATTTATCCGGGAATTGTTTATTGTTCACAGCGAAGAAGAGAATATTACTTCATGCAGATCATACTTGAATCGTAAATTCAGCTTTGCTCGCGGTGCCGTTCGCCACGAGAAGCGGAAACGTGCAAGAGGCGCCAAGTATTGCGTTCGCGCGGGTCACTTTTTCCGGAAACGCCGTAGCGGCCTTCAATCTTAATTCATACGGAAAATGACCGAGTTCCTCGCAGTAAACGTCGAGCTTAACGACCGTCTCTTCGGTTTGCAGCATCGGATGGAACTCCACGGTTACGTGTTCCTGCGATTTCACGTTTCGCAACATAAACTCGTCGAGCTTTTTAACGGTAACTGCGATTTCGAACCGCTAGGGATGGAACTAATCCGCTGAATTTTAACGCGTTGACTGCCACTGGCTTTTTCAGCGTTGCGCGTTACTTGTTTTTTCGCAGCAAAGATGTATGGAAACGATTGTTAACCCTCTATGGGCCGAATTTTTGTTCACGATTATAACAAAATCTATGTAGTACAAAATTAATTTATTTAAAGTTTCAATAATTTCTTCTTCATTTCTTCATGATTACTTCATTTTATTCGCCACTTTGAGTGCAAAATGAAATAAATCAACAAGATGCCAGTATACTGATACCTGACTTCAAAGTTACATGGGCCTATAGAGGGTTAATTATTTGGTATCGCGATGCTTACTTTATATTGTTATTTGATTACTCAGAGTTTTAGATATATTTATTCTACATAGGTCATCGTATACAGGGTGGAAGTTATAAAGCGTTACAGTCGAATATGGTCACTCCGAGGTGAGGTGAAGGTCAACTCTCTTTTTTTAAATAGAACGACACATTTTTTATCCACCGTCAAATAGTGCGTTTCAAGACGAATTCAACGACCTATGACTGAAGGTCATTCAAGGTCAAACTTGCAGGGAAATGGAGAAAAGGTGTGATCGTTTAATAAAATAAAGTAATCATGGAGAAATGAAGAAGAAATTATCGAAACTATTAAATATATTGATCGCGATGGCAGTCAACGCGTTAACGAGCTTGTTTCAGTCATTTACAACGTACGCTCGATGAAGGCGGCACGATCTTCGGCACATCGTGGATCGCGACGAAAGGATGCCGACACGCCGCCGTGTAAGTAATCGGGTCTCGATCCAGCGGATTTTCCAGCTTTAAACTGTAACACGCTCGAGACCGTGCGGGGGTCGACAATTTGATAGATTCGAGGACTTCCGGTTCCGTCACGTCGTACTCGATTTCGTAGAACTGGTACTCGCCGTCCTCGTTGCTGAACGTCACCTGGATTCGCCCGGAAAAATGAAAAGGCAGCAACGCTGCCAGGACGTTCCGTTTCTAGATGGAATTTTCGATCGCTATAATGGTACCTTGAAGCGAAAAACGTGCGCCTCGAAAGAATGGAACACCGCGCGATAGTCCCGATGGCTGCTGGGCGGAACATCGATTCTGTCGTTGCCGGAAAACGCGTGGAACGGGATTCGCTGCGACGGAAAGACGAAATTAGGGATGGAGAGCTCGTCTCACGAATTGACGCTAATTGAAACGCTTAACATTTTACGTCTAGCTTGAAGAGGATTTACTTTCACGCATTTCTGCGTGTAAAATCATCATGGTTGACGCGACTTGAATTTTATTCGCATTTTACGAAGCCGATTCGTTGCATTCGATAAGACACGGTAGCAACGAAGCTTGCTACTGAAACGAACGCGTTAAAGTCGCACCTTTAACTGTAGAGAGCTGGTCGTCGATTCGATTTTACAGCGAAATCGTTGCTGCTCGCCGAGCCAATTGTGAACAGGCAACAGTTCGGTGAATTTCGTTTTAGCGGGGAATTGTCTGCGAATTCTAGCCGAGACCTGCGGGGGCAAGCTGTTCCCTCGAAGGGAGTACACCAAGGGACTCGCTTCGTCCGGTAATTTAATCAACAGCGTACCCTGGAAAAAATAGCAAGATGGAATAAACCGATCATCGGTGAGTTGAGAATATTTTACAGTGTGCTGAGTATCCTCGGTGTTCATGACTGTGGGTGCGTAAGTGATCAGGCAAGAGCCAGATCCTTTCGCAGGGACGTGGAAAGCTTCATCGACCGAGAAATAATTGCCGGTCACTTCGGGGATCAGTTTCCAAGGTAAATTTGTATCGTTAGCGATCGTCATGGCTCGCGTTTCTCGCTGGCGGACTATGCAGGCGAAAACGACAGTCTCGATTGGTTCTGGCAGTTTACAGCAGCTACCGGTGACCCTTATCTTCAGGGCATCATACTTCTCGATCTCCACTGTCGCCTGGAATACACCGTCGCGAAAGTTTCATCCCTTAGAACGAGAGATTGTTCGAGCAGATCTTTGCGAGAAATTGTTAGCGCGATGACCGGATTTGACGCTAGGTTTACGAAACCCGTCGATTCGACGCGTACTGAATTTTATAAGCATTATTTGATACGTTTGCGTCGATTTTGATCGGCGAGATTATATAAATGTGTATTTTAATTCTATTTAACCCTTTGCACTCGAAAGTTTTTACTAGAAATATTCACTATTCTTCGAAGAGATACAGACGATGTTCTTTGAAGACTTAACCCTTTGCACTCGAGAGGTGACCCTCAGTCACCATTTGATCTGATTTGCAGAATTATAAAGTTTTATGTATAATGTTAAGCTTTGTATGATGCGGCAATATATGGAATATTCAAATAAAATAACTCTTCTTAATTTTATATGTGTTTTCTTATTAATTAAAGTTATTAATCTTATCTTCTTAATCTTATATATGTTTTCTTATTAATTAAAGTTATTTTATTTCAATATTCCATATATTGACGTATCATACAAAGCTTAATATTATATATAAGACTTTAAAATTTTGCAAATCAGATCAAATGGTGACTGAGGGTCACCTCGCGAGTGCAAAGGGTAAAGCCTCTGATTCACAGATCTAAATGAAGAAACATCAATTCTTTTAGAGATAATTGAATAAACTAACAAAAAAATGAATACAAAAAATTCGATTTTAATGCAGATATCACGATCGAATCGGATCGAAGAACCGTCGGTGAATAATTAAGGCGACGTATAGCAGAAGAAGGATACAGGTGACGAGTTAAATCGTCTTCCACGGTGAACAAGGTTAATTAATTGGAATTGTAGGAGTCTCGCGGGAGATGTAGACGCTGTAATTAAAAGATTGCTCGAAATATTTGTACGCCGGAACGGGAAACGGGGTCGTCCACTCACCACACCCTCAATTAAACTGCCTTGCCGAGAGGGTTGGAACTTGATAACGAAGTTGACATCCATTCCGGGGGAGCAATAGCCGGACACGGGGCTGATCGTAAAATCCGCCGGCAATTTCGACGTGTTCCACTTAAATCTAAATTAATTATCGTGCGCTGATTTTCGTATGAATGCCGCGAGCTGTCTCCCTTTATATTAATACATTCGAGACATTCGTGACATTTTTTAGCTGAATACCCGTAACGCAATCTCGAGTCATTTTTCATTCTTTTAGTAGAATGCTAGAGATGTATTATTACGTTATTTTCAATTTTTTTAGTAGAGTGCTAATAATGTAGTCCTACGTTACGCTGATAAATTTTGGGAAATTATGTCACGAGTGTGTTAACACTAGAATTACTACGGGTCAAAATGACTCATTCCTAAATTAAGGTTATCAGATGCTTCTTTGAGAAATTAGTAAAGAAATTGATTGAATAATATGCAAACTGAATCATCAGTTAACAATAGAACTACCGATTAATACGATTAATACACAATTCCCATAAAAATTCTAACAATAGATTATTTCCAGTTTCTTCAGACATTCATCATAGTACCGAAACTATTTATTTTCAAAATCATTTCGAATATTCAATGCTTCGATGATATCAATAATTGCGAACCAGAAAAATCGAAACCAGTCATTATGACTGGTACGGTAGTTCTAGTGTTAATTGAAATCTCAACGACTCTCTTATAATTCCAACAGAAAAATGAGAGAAAATCACTTCGATTGATCAGTAGTTTTAGTGGTAAACGAAAGAAATCTCTAATAATGTTGAAGAACCTCGCGCCTATGTCCCCGGTATTCATCAGCACCACCTTAGCCTTGCCCGTGCAGCCCTCGACGATCGTTCCAAGCGAGAAATAGGTCCCGTTCAGCCGGAATTCCGGTCCGACGCAGCTTCCGTGCACCACGAACAGCGGTAAAATGGTGGAAGACGTCTGAACGCTCACTTTTCCCGTGAATCTTCTCATTCTGCACGTCGGCTTGTACCTCACGGTCACATCTACCTTTTTATTCGGGTGCAAAGCGACGGTCGACGACGGCTGCACCTGTAGAACCTCCGAGAGCCTCGGCTCTTTGGTCTGCAGCTCCGTGTCCACGGTCCACGAGCGTTTCGTTTCTATGACAGAGGCTCTATCTATTCCCTGCACGTCCTCGCTGGGTTGATACGCCGGGCAAAATTTCTCCCGGTCACGGTATTTTTCATAGGCGGCCAGATTTTTCGTCAGATCGAATTTCACGTTTAGTACCGCCGAACCCTCGTTCACCATTGACACCTTCTTCTGGACGATTTTGCCGATCGACACGGTGCCTAGATCCACGGACGTGTCTCGGGGATTTACCAATCGAATCTAGAAATTTTTATGATGACTACATATTAACACTTTGCACTCCGGAAGCTTTTTACCGGAAATATTCAATATTGTCTAAAGAGATATAGATGAATCGAGGAATGATCCTCACATGCATTGAGAAACTATTTTCTTTCAATATCTCGTACATTGATGCATTGTACAAAGCTTAATATTAAGTATCAAACTTTATAGTTTTGCTGTGTCAAATGGCGACTGAGAGGCGTCAAAGGGTTAATTAACTGGGAATGACGAGTTAACTCATTCGAGTTCAATTTGACTTCTCAGCTTTTCGGTTCCGCGTTCATCGGACAAATCATTTTTGTATCGGAATGTATCATTGCGCAATGTTTATTATAATAATCTAGTTCATCTCGAGTTATGGTTTTATTAACATTCACGTTTGAGAAACGCGCAGTTGAAAGGTTAATAATAATTATTGCATTCTTCGTGTTGCCTGATTCTTTTTCCTTTTACTTTCCTCTTTCTCTTGCATTCTTTCTTTTCGCGTGTGACGCTGTTATAATGGTTAAGAAAAAAAGGTTGAAAAATACATTTTCAAGAAACTAAATTAGCTAAGTTTCCGCCGAGTAAAGTTTCTCGGCGGGGGATTAAGTAGCCGTTTCAAGTTTTCCTACGGTCCCCCGAAGTTTTAACAAACTCGATCGTCGGGCTCCGCGATGAATACTTGCCCTGTATGGTATTCCTTCGCCGGTAATAACTATTCTCTTCTCGTTCCTCGAGTTGATTTTGAAGATTAAGCACTCGCGGTACCTCGCCTCCTTCAGTGCTCGAAAAATGATCGGTATAACGACCGTCGATCGAGCTGCCACTGCTTCGGAGATCGGGTTCAAGTCGACGGATAAATGCGGTTGGTCCTCGTAATTGCATTCAAGTCTGCATCGAAATTATTTCCAATTAAAACAACAATTACGCGATAGAGTTACTAGGTTTACAGACATTTGTACAATTTATGGTCTTCGGAAAAGTGAAAATGTTCGTTTGGATCTTGCGAATCCTCTAATTTCAATCATATTTAAATGTATTAATATTGTACCGATTGCACAATAAATAAATAATAAAATTCAAACTATGTTTAAAAGTAGTCAATAAGTATATACATTCATATAATTGTATTAATTAAGCCTTTGCCTCGCCATTTGATTTGACCTAAGAAAATGATAAAATCTCAAATTCAATATTAAACTGTCTATAATGTATCAACACATGGAACGTCGAAATGAAATGGTTCTGTCACTTAGTTTATTGTCACTTTGTGACATTGTTTTCTTGAGAAAAGTATTTTCGAGTGCAAAGGGTTAACACTAGAACTACGTAGCAGTCAAAATGACTGGTTTCGATTTTTTTGTTAAGCAATTATTATCTTCGAAGCATTGAATATTCGAAATGACTGGTTTCGATTTTTTTGTTTAGCAATGATTGGTATCTTCGAAGCATTGAATATTCGAAATGATGTTGAAAATGAATAGTTTCATTTCAGTACTATAATGAATGTCAGAAACTGAAAATAATCTATTGTTACAATTTTTATGGGAATTGCATATTAATCGTATTGCTCGGCAGTTCTAGTGTTAAAATCGTTGTGAACCTTTTCCAAACGATGTCTATAAAGTTCGATACAAGTCAAACCGACGCGTTCCGTAAACCTAGCGTTAAAGGAGCAACCAAAGATCGTCACATGACAGGCTTGTTCTCCGAGTTCGTCACTCGAAGTTCTGTTGCATGGAATATCCCATTTGCATTTTGAATGTAACACGAGCCGAAGTCGTGGCGGTCGAAGCTGAACTGGACAGCCATCTTCTTCGAGGTGGCTTTCAGTAAGAACCGATATGTCGGGCCGTTGCTAATCTGTAATTAATTCGTGTTATACTCGCTCGAAGCAATTTTACACGACGAGGGGATTTCAGTCGACCTGCCTTCAGGGTAACGCAGTGATCTTTGATCACAGTTTTCTGCAACGTCGTGACCGCTAAATTACAGGTTGAACGAGATTCGCTGGCCACGTGTCCTGCCCTTTGAAGCATCTCGACGCTGTAGGCGTTCCTGGTGCAGAGTTCCGGCGTCATACCCAGATCCCAGGTATAATAAAAGGTCATTTTGCTGGAATTACGGATGTCGAACTCCACGGCGACTGGCACGTTCACTATCAACTGTGAATGAAGCTAACGAATCACTCTGCTCCAAGGGATGAGTACTTTAACCCTTAGCAGTCCTATGTCGAGTCAGACTCGACGTTCTATTTTATTGCGACCTCTACCTGTTTTAACAATTTTTTTTATATTTATTTGTAGTATCACAATTGTACCATTTAAAGGTAACATTTCAATGACTCCCAAATATTCTTGAATAAATAAATAGAGACATATGAAGCTGTAATTGAAGGAACTAACGTCGACGCGAACCTCAAAGTGAGAAACCAAGAGCAGTACGGGTTAAGCACAGAGGGTTAAATTATATATCAATTGCTTAAACAATAGAAGTGGAAACTACCTACCGCCTGCTACTTAGTATTCCAAACATAAAAATTTCATCTCCCAAAATATCGACTAATATTTAATTCTAACATTTCAAAACTCCAACAAACTTCGGTCGACAAAGGGTGAAACATTCCATTCACCGCGATCGAATATTCGTAAGCTAACGAATCCGCTTCAAAGGATACTCCTCCGGAGTGTCCCGATAGCCGTAACAAGGAAGAAATCGAATTCAAACACTCCGCTTATCGCAATCAGGGAATATTTCAATAAAACATCGCGTTCCATTCTGTCGCGGCGCGATCTCCCCGAGATACGTCCCGTGCAAATTGAAAACGATGAACGAGATATTCCACGGCGCGCGTAGCCGCGTTTGAATCTGAAAGGGACGTCTGCGAACCTTGCCCAGGTCGACGACGTTCCCCGCGTCCTCGCGGGCTCGTACAATCCCGCCGGCCGCGACGGAATAGGAAACCGAAGAGACGATCTCGTGGGCGGAAGCGGTCACGAAAACCGTGAGGGGAGCTTTCATCAGCCCCACGGCGCACTGAATGGAGAAGTGGAACTCGCCGACCCGACTCGGATGGTACTCGACCCTGCGGACGAATTAAAAGATCTCGTCGTGCCATTCTGGCCGCGATCTCGCGCGTAAAATCGTGGGCTCGTTGCTGCGAATTTTATCATCAATGGCCGCCGGCCACAGTTAACACGCTGAATGCCGCGGGAGTCACCGGTAACCCCTACCTGGATCGAGTCGCTGTTATTCAGTTCACTAAACGACGATTATTTGAGAACCTTTTTACGTCGTTAACCCTTTCCGGTACGATTAATCGTGAAAAATTGCGCGTGGTAAGAGCATTCTGTTTTTATGAAAGGAAACGTGTTCCATTTTATGATTTACGTTTTGTTGATTAACCCTTTGCACTCCAGGGGCGCCTTACTTATAAAATTTTCAATTGAATATTAAACCTTGTGTAACGTATCAACGCGTAAAACATCGAAGTAAAATAGTTCTCGCCCTTAATTTATAGAAGATAATCAATTGTGTTAGTTGGGAAAAATATCGTTAATATTTACTCAGAAAAATGAATATTTTTAATGAAAAATATTGTCGAGTGCAAAGGGTTGAAGGAATATTAATTGAAAGTAATCTGGCGAAGTACTACTGAGTATTGTGACAATCTATTCTTAATTAGGAACTGCACAGATTTTGTACATTAAAAACATGTAATTTGTAATTTTAGTTGTTTGAGCGTAGCTCGTTACTGTACAGTTTGACACGGAAAAATAATGACGACCTGTTTCCGTCATTTTACCGCAAAGGGTTAATAACGGGACACGATGCAGTGAGCGTGCAATAATGATAATGCAGCTCAAGTAAATGGTTTGATATTTTTTGGACTTTGTATAGGTATTTTGTTAGGTGAAATCCGGCATTCAGCGTGTTAATGATATAAGAATTCAGGAGTACTGTAGTAGTTGTTCGCTCTTCGAGGTTAGGGTTCCAGTCATCGGAATCACTGTGAGTTTCTGGAATTTCCCTTCGGAGTATAGGGATTCCTTTAGTATTCGGAATGGTATATCGAAGGCTTCGTCGTTCAGTAGTCGAATTGATTCTTGGACGCTGTGTTCTGGAAGTTATGGAGGATTAAACATTTTATTTAACGGTATTCGATAATATTCCCACGTAAAATATTATTATAAGCTACAGTGCGCGTCTCATGTTAGCTGCATCAGCCTAAAGTTTGAAAGTACACATATATATTTTTCTAACTACTTATAAATAATAAAACTATTAAACTTATATACTTATAAATAACAAAACTATTGAACTTATATACTTATAAATAATAAACTATTTATATATATATATATATATATATATATATATATATATCTAACGAAATTATTGGTAATTATAAGGACTACACAAAATACTATCACTACACTAACACATCTTTCTCAAAACAAACCGGCGCCATCTTGTCGCAAGGCGCCACCAGCTACCCACAGGCACGTTCGACCATGCATACCCACAATACTTTATACTTAATGTGTGATTGTTAATGAAAGAGAAAAAGGTCTCCTACAGAGACTATCTTCTCGAAGGAGAAGAAGTTTCGTACCAAGAGTGTGCGAGATCTACCTAAGATTGTTGGTTTCAGTTTCACGTGGACCGTGAGGCAGTGTACCAAGGGCTCCCTGACGATGCCGACGAGCAGGAACAGGCATTCCAAATTATACCTCTCGATGGAGAAGAGCCAGAAGGACTCGAAGACGCCGACCTCTTCTGCCAAGAACGTGAACGCCAGGTCAGTTTGTTTCCCGCGTTCCGCGACGCCCTGGGGGACCGTGCAATGGAAATTCGGCATCTTGTCAACTCGGTGAAGCGTTCGGTCCGTCCAGGAGAAACGATAGTCGTCCGTCGTTGGATTAATTAAATGAAAGCTTCTAAAAATCATCCAAACGAAAACTGCTTTTTCGAAAGGAAATCGAGAAAATTGTAGCTTCGAAACTAGATCATTGCAATGCGCATTCGCGTAATTGCTCGAATCAAAGTCGACTCAAACTATCACTAAACAATGTTAAACTTCAATATCCGTCAAATCGACGGGTTCCGTAAATCTACCGTCAAGTCTCCTCGAACGCGTCGCGGTTCTGAAAACCACGCAAGAAACTTTACATTCCAGGAAATTCAATAGAAACGGAATCGTTAAAAAATCCAGGTAGCTACGATTTCCCATTCTAATGAATTTCCGGCGTTTCCGCGGCGAATGCAGATGGGACCGCAGTAATTTGTTGCGAAGTTCATTAAAACCGACGGGCTACCGGCAGTTCTACGTGCCACACTTACTTGACGTGAGTCCCGCCGACGCCGACCACTTTAAATTCGATTACCCTGATATTTTCCCACAAAGCGGGATCCTCCGGTTCGCGTCCCAGCGGGCCGGGCATCGTCGGGTCCCGTCTGCCGGCGGTTACGTAGTCGCTCTCTTCCACGTCGAAATGACAATACGGCAATAAACTTCTCGCCGCGACTGGGATCGACAACTCTGCCAGCTCCGGGTGGAGATTCTCCATTCTGTTGAAAGCGTCAAACACCGGGGGCTCTATTTTACAGGGGAATTCATTTGCTCGGACACGTGGAAGAATTAGGTGGATTAACAACTGGGGACTCGGAGTATGTCGAAGGTGTCATTATACTCGGAGACTGAAGGTTTATTCTCGAGAAGTCTGCTCTGATAATTCGTCTAATGTATACCCGCAATACTGTTGTACGAATGTCTAACAGGTTTCTGTGTGGCATTGCTTTACAAATGAGAAATGATATTTAAATACAATAGTTTCAACCCTTCGCGCTCCAGTTTTCATTAGAAGTACTCAAGATTTTTTAATGAAATACCAACGACATTCTTTCAAATCGACTTAACGAGAAATCGTACATGAATTGAAGAGGCTGTTTTATTTTAATATTTCACATGTTGATGCTGTGCGAAGTTTAATATTAAATATCAAATTTTATAATTTTACTGTGTCAAATCAATTGGCGACTGAGAGGCGCCTACGGAGTAAAGAGTTAATTAACTGGGAATGACGAGTTAACTCATTCGAGTTCAATTTGACTTCTCAGCTTTTCGGTTTCGTGTTCATCCGACGAATCATTTTTGTATTGGAATGTATCATCGTGCAATGTTCATTATAATAATTTAAATAGAATATTATGTTTAATTATATCAACGTTATAGAAAATTGGATAATTTATACAGTTAACGATTCGTGTCCTTAAGAAATCGCTCGACTTTTACCGAGATCGTTTAACCGAGCAGTGATCCGATAGCGTACTTGCACGTGAGATAGGCTTTGTAATAAAACACGTCCACGGGGGAGAATTTCAGCGTACACTCGACGGATCCTCGGGGAGGAACGGATCCCTCTTCAGGATGGATCGCGAACGGTAGATCGTCACCCTCTAACCAGCTGTCGGTGGTCCGTTCCGACAATCCTGCAGCGCTGCTGAAAAGGTCCGACCGCCTCGCGCTGGCTGGTTTCACCTCGAACGTGCCTGCAACGATGGATCTCACGAGTTATGAGCCCTTTGAGCAGGCTACACGAATCTCACCGGACAAGGATGGGGTACATCGCCGTGAAAATAAATCCCCCGCGTCCCCGCCGCTCCTCCCGTGCCAGTCGAAGTCCCTGTAACGCGATCGTTCACTTGTTGCGGAGAAAATGCCACGGAACGACTTCGAATTCGGCCGGGAAAGAGAATTCTCAGCGGTCCTCGGCCTGGAAGTCACGTTCGCGCTGTCTTCCATATGCTTCTTCGGGTATTGCTCGTCCATACTTATCTTCCAGGCGTACGTCGTGTTTACCAGTCCCGGATTCGAGAATGTGAAAGTATACTCTCTGGTCTGCAACAATTTTGTATGGATTGAAATTGTTTGGACCTTGCAAATAAAACAGAAAAGTAGCCAAATGTATGTTCAAATACACAAATGTCAAAATACCGAAATATCCGAAAACTCAAATACCTAAATATCGAGATACCCAAATACCCAAATACCAAATTACCAAAATACCAAAATACCAAAATAGTCAAATATCCAAATATCCAAGGATCCAAATATCCAAGGATCCAAATATCCAAATATCCAAATATGCAAGGATCCAAATATCCAAATATCCAAATATCCAAATATCCAAATATCCAAATATCCAAATATCCAAATATCCAAATATCCAAATAACCAAATATCCAAATATCCAAATATCCAAATATCCAAATATCCAAATACCCAAATACCCAAATACCCAAATACCCAAATACCAAAATACCAAAATACCCAAATGTTCAAATACCGAAATATCTAAATACCCAAATACCGAAGTACCCAAATACCCAATTACCCAAATACCCAAATATCAAAATACTCAAACATCCAAATATCAAATTGCATATTGTATTTATTAGGAAAAACCATTTCCTATCGTAATCCTGTTCCAATTTTGTTCTCAAAAATTGTATTCGCGTGTAGATCAAGCTACTCATAAAAGAATAGAGAACCTGGAACATCAGGGTGTCCTTGAAATAAATATCCTTCACAGGACATGAATACTCAGAGAATGCGACCGTTGCACTGAGTAAAACTTGGATGCACTTGCTGCTGCCAGGTACGACGTCTGCCATAGGTTCAGGAGCAGGTTGCACAGTCTTCTTGGCCAGAACCTCGGTGTTCTTCGGCTGTTCCGGGAGATCGGGATGCAGTGTTTCCCATCGTACTTCCGTCTGTCTATCATCCCAAGCAGCTTCGTTGTTCGGTTGGAGGATGCTGATCTCGCTGACGATGCATTCGATGCGGGTCTGACGAAACGGACGACAATGGTAATAATGATAGAGGCGAGCAGCCCGTGCAGGCACTAACATTCGCGTGATTAATGGGTTCCGTTCCCAGGAAGGTAGCAACGATTTCCTTGCACGTCTGATTCTTGACGTGTCCGATCGATGGCACGAATACGAGATTAGGATGCGCGTTCCACTCGAATCGGAACCATTTATCCGTGGATTTATTGGCGATCCTGAACGTTTTTCTATATATCTTGCCAACGAAACAGAGACCGTAATCAAGGACGTAGGATAGGGACTCTGTAGATGCTGAACCAATACGACCTGAGATTGATTTGAACAGAAATCGAAGTGAACATTAATAAAATATCATAGAATAAGAATATTCTAAGAATAAAAAAATAAAAAATAAAAATATAAGGAAAGATATAATATTAATAAAATATTAAATATATATATTATATATTATATATATTTTTTTCTTTTATATTACATTCTTTAATATTATATTATAAGAATATTATTTTATAGTGTACCGGATGTCAGAGAACTTCGTTTCGACGAAAACTTTCGTCCTTTAACAACAAGTTCGGAAGACTCCTTAGATCTACGTTTGGTGTCCTCAAACTCTAAACCCTCGAAGACAATTGGTTCCATATAAGATTCTGCTTGAACGTCGATTACCAGATTCTCATAAGGATTATCAACAATGAACAGGCGAATTTTTCCAGAGTATTTTCCTATTTCAATCGGTGAGAATCTTATTTTGAAGCGTGCCGTATTTCCTGGCATTAGAAGAACCACTGTGCACCTGTCATTTGGCTCTAAAGCAAGATACAAATGCAAGCGTTAAAACTCATTCTTAATCTTTTAAAAATAGATTTAGTATCGTAGGAGAAACAATAAAAATTTGTTGAATTAAAAATAAATCTTACATCAGTTTACTGAATTAAATTTATAAACGCTAAGAACAAAGTCTGAATGTTCACCGTCGCAACTACCGTTCCAAATCTGCAGCAAACGTTGCGTGTCAGGGCAAGCTTCGAAGCTGAAGAGGTTCTTATCTTCATCGATCTCGACAATGACTTTAGCCTTGATGAATCCGACATTTTCCACAGCGAATCGTCTCGAGCATGTTTCATTAACCAGCGTACGAGCAAAATTCAACGTGACCTTCTCGCGTCTCCCGTGCGCCGGCTCTACGATCTCCACTTCCGGTACACAGGACTCGCCGAGCAGGTTGACGAGCAGCTTCTCGTCCGCCAGATGAGGGGGCAGGAGCACCGTCACTTCCAACCTTCCTCGGAACGTCTGCAAATGTTTGACAAGGGTACAGTAATTTCGAAACTCCGGAAGACACACTCGAAGAACAATTTTGCTTAACCCCTATCATGCTCGGCGTGAAAGACACTCTGAACGTTTTGTAGCTGACTGGCGGAATTCGTTCGTCTTCCGGATCCACGGCGAACGTATCGGGCTTAGCCGTGCCAGGTGTCAGGGAGTCCTGAACGAAGAGCACCTGCACGTCCGCTGGAACTATATTCCGGTTGTACAATTTGAAGCACGTCGCGTGGCTGGTTGACACGCAGACGTACCGGAAGTAGAGGCATTTCTCTTGGCGCGTGAACACCGTGTGTGGACCGATCTGGTGAAATGCGAAGTTTGGTTCAGAGATAGGGGAATTGTTAGGAAAACTCTGCCTTGTAAATGTTTTATCTTAGATATTGTAACCCTTTGTACTCGAAAAATTTGTCACTAGAAATATTCTTTCAACTAACTTAACGAGGAATCTATTCACAATGTAAGAGGAACAATGGTATTTTATTTCCACGTTTCACGTATCGACAGATTACTCAAGGCTTAATGTTAAATACGGAATTTTACAATTTTTACAATTTTTACAATTTTTGGAGTGCAAAGGGATAATAACACATTGAACGCCGGATAAATTTCAGCTACCAGAAGCGCGAGTGTCGATGATTATACTGATATATTTTTAAACATCCATCAAACCAAAATTTGTAACTACATATCTAGAATTTTACATTAACGAGGGATTTTTAATCTACCGTTAAATTGCTAGTCCCATATTAATGTAACATTATAGATATGTAGAACACAAGTCCAAAGTAAAATTACGAAATAGAATGAGGAATTCGATTTTGTAATTTTACTTTTTCTATCGTTCTCACCTCTATGCTCTTTTTACTATATTAAATTGTTTAGATTCATAGGTAAATGGAATATCTGAAGCATTCATAAACAAATGCTTCCTTAAACGAATCAAGAGAACCTCTTTGGGGCAATCGAAGTCCTGGATCTGGTCGACCACGTGATTCTTTTGGAACATCGAGTCTAGATCCTCGAAATCGACACACGGCACTGACGAACGCACCGACAGAGAAACAATCTTCCCATCGCTGTCTTCCGGTATACTGTCGTTTACTTGGACCATGATCTGTTCATCCTGCGAGCCTACGAATTCTGGGTAACAAACGACAGCGATAGTGTCCGTCTGTCCCACGTCGATGTCTCCTTCAGTTTTCTCTATCGTCATAGGACCCACTACCAACTTCAAATCAGCTGGCTCGTCTTTTCTGAACAGAGTCAAAGAACTCACCAAAAAATTCTCCAGTAACCGATGAATCATTTAACCCCTTGCCGTACGATGACGAGTGAGACTCGCGATGAACATTTGTAAACTAATTTAACAAGAACCAATTTGCCATTATCGATGTGTTGTATTCAAATGAAATTTCCACCTCAACTAGAATGCAGAATTTTGTTGTATCTTACAAATTGATAGTAAAATATTACACGAGCTTAGTAACGAAACTAAATAGTACGTCAAGGGGTTAAGTAATTTATATCTTACTTAACGTCGGTCGCTTTAATTTTCACGGATTTCTTGCTTCTCGACGCGACGGTCCTCGCCGTCAAGTTTTTCTTCTTGCGTGAATCCTCTGTCGTCTGTCTCAGATACAACATCGACGGATGCTTGCCAGTTAATCGTATGGTGTAATGCAATGGGAATTTCCCTGTGTTCTCTATGTTCAGGTACATGGTCTTCTCCGTGCAGATGGCCATCGTTCCGAAGTCCATCGACGGATACGGGTGAAGTTGAAATCTGCGATGACACTGTGAGTCATGCATACGAATCACGAATACTCTGAATGCAGGATATATGACTGATTGCGTTCAGCGATATTCTCTACCGAGTGTAATAGGCGTCCAGGGAGACCGTTAGAGGAATTTCAGCGACGATGACGGCCTCTCTATGCGTATCCACTAAATGGCACTTCAATATCGGAGCGTTCCTGAGAGTCAGTTCAGTTTTCGTCACAATAACCACCTGAAGGAACGAATTACTATATTCTTTTCAGAAATTTTTTATTTTCCGAGATACGGACCTCGACAACTCTTTCCCTGTCCGGTGGAATGGTACCGGAAACCGGTCGAATCTTAAGGTTCATCTTCAAGTTCACGGGCACGTTCAGCTTCGATAATTTCTCGTCGTCCTCCAGCATGACTCTGTGAATATTTTTATATCTCCTATATTAACCGTTTAACAATATTTTTCATTAAAAATATTCATTACTTTCTGATTAAATATCAACGATATTTTTCATAACCAACACAATTGATTATCTTCTATAAATTAAGGGACAGAACTATTTTACTTCGATGCTTTATGTGTTGATACATTACACAAGGTCTAATATTGAATTGAAAATTTTTATAAGGTGTGAAAATTAAGTAAGGCGCCCCTCGAGTAAAGGGTTAACATTAGAATTAATAATAATAATAATAATCTTAGTAATTCTAATGTTAACTCTTAGATTAATAATAATAATAATAATCTTAGTAATTCTAATATTAACTCTTTGCACTCGAGGGGCGCCATACTTAATTTTCACACCTCATAAAATTTTCAATTCAATATTAGACCTTAATAATAATAATAATAATAATCTTAGTAAGATTTCGATTGAATTTCAATTTCTACATTACGAAATCAACTTATTTAATCATATCTAAGAAAAGCTTGTTTCTTTGAAAATTGAAAATAAATCAGGAACGGGCCATTTTGATTCATTCAGTAATTCCAGCAAAATCGAAACAGTATTAGATTCCACGCCGCAAGAGAAATGTTCCGTACACAAACTGCACTTCGTAGTCCCCGCGATTTTTCATGGTGAACAGGCCGCTCGCCGGGGCGTTGACTTTTATCCTCTCGAGATTGATCGGGTTCGCGTGATCGATGTCGACAGCTACATCGTAAGTCTGGCCCGATAAACGGATCGTTTCCGTGAAAATAGGATCCTGATCCTCTTGTAAAAACGCTTCGAATACGATCGTTTGCATCTCGATCGCTCCGACCTGTAAAAAAGAGTTTCTCCGTATGACCCGCGCGCACGCCAGGGAAATTCAGCCGCGGTGTCTTTCGGTTTCCTTCGTGAGAAAGATGCGTTACAGTGACACCGTGATAGCAGAATTCGATTTTCCGCTCGTCCCAGGGTTTAATCTCGCCTCGATCAGGCGCGAACGTGATCTGAGGATCAAGCGGCTCCTCCGGCGCTAAACACCAGAGGATTTCGGTGCCATTTCTGTTCCGAATCGTCAATGCCTGGAACTCCCGTCGGTACAGGAGCGTGTTGCCGAAAGAAATTTGCTTCCGATCCAGCTCGACGTTCAGCTTCGCGCCTTCGCTTTGCAACTACGGGATTTTATACACAAGTGAATTTTTACTTTGATGTGGTTCCTCTCGTGATAATTGTGGAGATTACTTGCAACACTTCTGCTTTGGGATTATTCTTTATGCAGAGATATAGAGTTGCGGAGTTGGTACCGATTTTCGTGGCAATGGCTGATAGCGTCAGGATTCCTTGACCTCCTGGCTGTACGGGTTTGAGTAGTTATGACAATTGCTCAATTTTAGAGGAAATCGGATGCTACTTCCAGCTGGAGGTATTAAACCGTCTTTCGTAACTTGGATCACTTTAGCATTCATAATTTACTAGTAAGAAGGAAGAATTCTGTTTATCCTATGTTTACGTTTACGCTGAACATTAATAACTCATAGAAAAATAACATTCAATTTACATCAAATGAGTATTATGAAATTTTCCAGCTTCTGCGAGAGACTACTGTCAGTATAATAAAATAAAATAAAGAATAATAATGAAATATTCAAATAAAAAATGAAACACAGATCTATCATAAGGTGAGTGAAGAAATTAGTGTTTTACATATTCCATTTCCAATATGTTTCTGATTGATCGTCACGGTGATCGTGCCGATTCGTTTGCTCGAATGCCACCTATCGGAAGCAGCATCCGCGATAATTAAGGAAGAGCATCGTCACTGTAAGCGCACAACGATAAACAGATTCTCAGGTCGGACGGCGAAGCAGCCGTCGTTGTTTCCCGCGAGCGAGAAGCTCACCCCCGCCTCCACTTGCGAAACGTTGCGGAACTTGAGCTCGACTTCGCGACGGCAGGGCCTGCTCGCAGATAAGATGCAAATGTAGCTCGCGAGTTCCAGAAGTTAACTACGAGAAGCACTTAAAGCGAGAACTTCCCGCTACGGATTTCAAAAAGTTCCGTATCGAGACGTCCCCGATTCGGCAATCGGCGCTGACGCACCTCTTATCTTTCGGCAGGACTGGCATTGATCCGAAATCATAAATACCGCGGTCTAAAAAGTATGCTGGACCACTCGGCCTGTCGGTCGTGTCCGTCACCTGTGAAGTATTCAACTGACATGTCAAAGTTACGACGAAGATATAACTGGAAGTAGCGATACAGCGAATTTCAACGCTCGCGGTACACGTTTCAAACTACCAAAATGTGACGGAAAAAAAATCTTACATTACAATTTCATAGGTCTTTATAAAGGAGAGACTCCAATATTCGAGACTACGATGGATTTGGCCTTCATAAAAATTTTTTAACCTCGCTGGAGATGTTTGAAGCTTGAATTTATATAATTTTGGAAACGAAAAAGTATGTTAGCTTATTCATTTTTTACATAAAGAATAATTATTATAGACAATCAAGGTTTATCGACAGCGAAAGTAGATATGTCATGCTTTGAAACAAGCACAAGTAGAATATTGTAACACCTGTCGTTCGAAAGTTATAGAAATCTGAATATCGACGATTTCTCGGTTGCAATTTAGCGATCCCTTGATTCTATTAACCCTTTGCACTCGAAAGTTTTTCACTTGTAATATTCTATACTTCCTAATTAGATGTGGACAAGATTCTTTAAAACGAACTTATCAAGAAATCACACACAAATTAGTTAAAGCTATTTTCTTTCAATATTTCACGTATTGATGCAGTATACAGTTAATGGTAAATTCCAAAGTTTATAATTTTTCTGTATCAAATCACCTGGCAACTCTCGAGTGCAAAGGGTTAACAGCGTCGACTTTGCGAAATTAGTTGCTATTTGCGCTTTCAGACTCGGTCATCGTTATATCGTTACTTCCAAGAACAAGCTTATTAACCGATCGTTCTCATTTTACTTTGTCGAAAATCGCCTGCGGATTCATGTCAAGTGTCGGCACATCAGCAACGCCACTGATCTTCATTTCGTAGGTGGTGTTTCCGTCTGCTATGGTGATCCCATAGATTTCATCGTAGACACCGGTTTCCGTAGGCTGGAAGCGGACCTTGAACCTCTGCGCGTCGTTCGGTTGGAGGATCCATCGCGGCTTCAAAGGCTCCTCTAGGACGCTCTCCGCGACGGAGGCGTTGTTTGCGTCTCTGCTTTCGATCGTCGACGTGTTCAACGACCGGTCGTCTAGTTTGCTCAACGATCTTCGCTCCTCCGTTTTGCTCGACGACCTCCGCCGCTGCTTTTTCACGGATCTTCGAGTTCCCGTGCGTCTTCCCGGCGCGCTGGATTCCGTCACGTGCGTCAGCTCGCTGATCGAGAGGACTTCCGGCGTCGGAGTTATCGAGACCACCTCGTAAACGTCTGGGAACCGATAGGTTTGCTCGAGTTAGCTCAAACTATTGGATCTAACTGAGGAATTTAGTTTGAAAAATTTCTCATGTGCAATGAAATTAGTAAGTGAATTTTGTGCTCTTCAAACGGCGCATCTAGGGTGGATTTGAATGAAAAACCAAAGCAAAACAGTATAACAGAGTGAAATTTATTTTTAATATCGTTTCAGATATTTCATATTTTTATATCAATATTTCTAGAATAAAAGGAAATTGAAACTAGTCGTTTCAGCAGTAAGGATTGCATACGTTGATAAGTGAGGATGAAATTGATTTAACGCGTCATCATTCGCCTAAAATTAATATGTGCAGTTTGGTAAATGTATAACATACTTCCAGGGACTTGTGTACTACGTTTCCGAATGTTCCTCGATGTTAGAACGGAGTAGACTTTGGGGACGAGGTCTGGTCGAGGCGCTGCTTCCTCTTGTGGAAAAGAACCAAACAAGATTTCCATCGGTAATGTACAAGATCTTTAGAACTTCCCGTCTCTTTTATAGTAATTTCGTATTCTTACAATTTCAAAAAAGCCTACTGTAACCTATACATTACCTAGGGCCGATTTTGCCAAAGCGTTTTCAGCCATTTGCGCAACTACCGCATCGTACATTGAACGTTGCCAGGGATCACTAGCGTTCACGTACCATATCTGAAACCTGTTCTGCGCCTGTATTTACAAGATTTTGAACAATATATTTCACAGATTACTGTTATATGTATCATATATTCCATAATCCAGAATATACAATTCCAAGCAATATCCTCACTTGGTTATCAACAGTGCTTCCATCTTTAGATCTATCGCCTTTGGACGCTTTAGATTTTGCCGTGGGCAACTCCTAAATCAACAAAATTAATGTAACAGAAAGAAATAATCACAAATGATCTCCTTTAACCAGTTAACTGTGGAATTCAGTTGGAAAAATCTCACGTTCTGCGATAAAATAAAAATGGAGCGTGTACTCGTCGAACGCAGGACGAATGCGCGTAAAGTACATTTTAACACGTTCAGCTAGATGAATGTGCGATAATAATAACGCAATTCAATCAAATGATTTAATATTGTATTTTTTCCATTTTGTGTATTTTGCTCTATGAAATCGTGAAGTGTTCAACGTGTTAATGAAAGACCAAAGCGAAACGAAGAAGAATTACACGTTTATGTGAAAAAATAAGGAATCCATCTCTCAAAGACCTAGTATCATGTCAATCTTTTCGACGCGTATACTCAAACACAGTTAACCGGTTAAAATCAGTTTCCCAAAGAACCAAAGTATAAGTAACACTGACTAGACTCCTCTTAACAGGATCCCAATTCCGAATCACGTCCAGGATCGCGGAGAGGTCAGAGCGATACTGATTCATGGCGTCGGTGACATCCTTGATCTCCTTCGGAACCGTCTCACGGCCTGCAACATTAATCGTCTCCTCAATTTCTTTGCGATCGCAGGACCGGGATGCTCTCGGACTAAGGTTATTTCGAATTTCATTGGTAACCCGGCCCGTGATTCATCGTAATTTAATCGAACTCGCGAGTATCAGGGATCTCGAGCCACTTCGGGGCCCGGCTCGAATTGGCTGGCGACGTTTCCCTCCGCTCGGCCGTCACGTCCTTCGATTCTATTCGGGCCGACTGTTCCTGGAGCGGATTCTTACCGCGTCTCGAGCTGTCCCTGCTCCTCGTTCCTCGGCTCGGCGTCCGCCGTCTGCCGGTGCCCGGCTTCGAGCTCGCGGACCTTTTATTGCCCGCCTGCTCGCGCTTCGCCGACTTATCCTTCCCTTTTCCCATGGGCGTCTTTGATCTCGGAACACGGTCGCGAGCCTCCTGCGAAACAGTGTCACGCTCCACTAAAGAATTAATGTCGAATCGTTTCACGGTTGTCTGAACCTCCCCCTTCGCTTCCTCTGTCTGTCTATCCCTATGCTATCCTCCCTCGCCCTGTTAACCCTAGAACTCCTGCGGAGGGCCTCCTTGAACCCGCAAGTTGGACAACGTTGGATTAACCCGTTTGCATCGTTAGGGCGTATAGGATATGCTCTCAGAGGAGGCGAATAGTCGATCGATTTTAGAGATTAACACGTTGCGTACTGGCAACGAGAAATCTCGTTTTTATGTAGACACTTAGCTGCGCTTTGCTAATTACTGTAGTACTTAGAAGAATATGGAATTTGATTCAAATTGATTATCTATTTAAAATACGTTATATAACAATATTGCTACATATACAAAACCTCAGATATCATATTGTTATGTAATGTATTTTAAATAGATAATCAGTTTGAATCAAATTTCATATTTTTCTAAGTAAATTCAACTTATATTGCTACACATGCAAAACCTCAGATAAGTTGATCTCACTGAAAATTTCCATCCGAACAATTCAGTTTTCTGAAAAGTAATATAATAAATAAATATATATATATAATATATATAAAATATTTATATTATATAAAAAGTAAATATATTATTATATTATCATCAATGTCACCTGTTAAGGTAAAGCCCTATATAATGCGATTAAAAGATTCTGCGTTATAGAAATTTCACGTTCACGAATTTTCTGTTAAATTCCATCGACATTACCTTTCGAACACCTATTTAACTTCCTCCTCTGTTTTATTCTCTCACTTTTATGCTAACTTTCCAACTGTACTTGCTATATTACTGCGATTTAATATTATGCACTTTAGTAATTTCATCACTTTACTCGTTCAAATATAAAAGAAGAAATCTGAAACTAATAGAATATTTCTCATACTGTCATACGATACAAATAGGTTCAAACTATTTGCAATATTTGCTGTTCAAATATAATCAAAACTCCTCGTTCCCATGTGCAGAACACTGCCAAAGAAAACGGAAACGAGGAGTCTGCGTAATAGCTTCTCGCCGTGGAGTTCTAGGATTAATCCGTCATATTTGACCCGAATAATGAAACTTTCGATAATTTCCTAAGGAAAATTCTTCATCGTCTCCCTCTGTCTCCGTAAGCGGCCTCTCGAGGCTCCCAGCCGCGATCGAAGTAAATTTAAAATTGGTGTCAGTAGCAGTGCTCCTTCGAGTCAGACCTTTTTCTTTCCGCGCTCCGTCATCCGTTCAGCGAATTGAGCTCGTCTAAGCGATGCCCTCTCCCTTTTAACCGGCAGAATTGCTTCCAGATACATCTTCTTGTCCCCGTCGGTGAGCAACTCGTATTCGGACAACGACATCTCGTCGATGTCCCGGATCCTCTTGCCGGGATCGGCCGCCCTCTCTGTCGCGAAAGATGAAATCTCTCGTTTCATATCGTTCCGTATCCTTTCGGTCTATGTATCATCGACAATGCCGCTCCGTCGGGTTGTAACTCGTAATGCAATCTCAGCAAGCGCGATATCGCGGTCCGTGTCGCTTTCACGACGTACGCGGCCGTTCATAAGCATTTCGACACTTGGAATCTGATCTGGGACTCTTTATTGTTGTTATTGTAACGTGAACGCGCGACAGAAGAATTTTTCGTTGTATTTTTCTTAGAGAAGCAAAGTCTTTTGTTACCTCGGTTGCTTTCTAGTTACTTTATTCGCGAGTTTCTGATTGTTGCAATATTTCTTTAAAATCGATATGAGAATGATCTATTAACCCTTAGCACTGTAGGTTATTTTGTAATCTATCAGCAACTGCAACTGATTTTTATAGTATTCCTAGCGAAAATTAGAAATGCAACATTTCTTCGATCTTTTACTTTCCTTCTTAATACAAAATTCGGATACGTGGAAAATCGAATAATTTTAGGGTAACTTCTTTAAGATTCATTAAAATATTTAATATTGTAACTGGTGCAATATTGGAGCCTACAGAGTTCAAAGGGTTAGTAATAGTATTAACCATCACTAAACATTCGTGCAAATAGTTTACCAACTTCCATCATTTTTGAGAATTCGAACGCAGTACATTTTTAACATCTATTAAGACTACAACAGTTAATTTTGTACGCTTCTCTATTTTCTAATTAAAATCTGATAATATATCTCTCAAGCTGTGCTACTTTGTTTGAAATAAATGGACAAAATAGAAAAATATAATATAATAGTAAGTTTAGTTATCTAGGGTTAATAGTAATTTTTAATGATAATATTAGTAATTCATTACTAATATAGAAACGACTATCATTAGCATCACTAGTGATCACTAACATTAACAATTTTTAATAGATAATAAAATCGTCTATTTTCATACTAAAATTTCTATTTATGTTTAAGTATTTCCCGAGAAACAAGTAAGCGTCGAAATACTTATGACCAACAGTGAACACGTTCAAGGATTTCTCGATGTTACCGATACCGAACGACACTACCGACTCCATTCTTGTTCCGCAAGAATATTTACCATACTCCTCGCGCAGTTGGTCCACTTTACAATTATAATTGGTGATCGAGTTGAGGAACGTGACGAACAGAAAGTACTCCGCGTGGCCGGCGATCCTCAGCACGGCGAGCAGAGTTTCGACGGCGTTATTGCATAGCAAGTTGTTCTCCAACGACTGCAGGACGAAGCCACGTTTAAAGTCCTCCGCGGAGAGCCTGTTGCAACGTTCAATTTAACGAGAATCAACTTACGAGGAGGTAAGTTTAGTAATTAACATGCTACCCGCTGTGCGCTACGTTCTCGGGGCACGCTCAACCCGATATCCTCGCCGACTGATATTTTTCTCATTAAAAGGCCGCGTGTGTAATTATCTATGTAGGTTGTCGAGTGTCTCCGTTCGCGTAACACAAAATGGACGACACGCGGGGAAGCGCAGAAAATGCGTATAAATGCAGAAGACAATAGTTCTAATTATTTCGAAGAAGCTCTAATTATTTCGAATATCGCCTTCGCCTCGTCGAAAAATGTTAAATATTTCTAATGAAAAACTTCTGGAGTGCAAAGGGTTAATGTTGAACTTCGTATAATGCCTCGATACGTGAAACATCGGAGAAAACATCTTTGTTGCTCAATGTACTCGTGATTTCTTTTAGAGATAGTTTCAAAGAATATCAGCTTCGCCTCGTCGGAAAATGTTAAATATTTCTAATGAAAAACTTCTGGAGTGCGAAGGGTTAATGTTGAACTTCGTATAATGCCTCGATAACATCTTTGTTGCTCAATGTACTCATGATTTTTTTTAGAGATACTTTCAAAGAATATCGCCTTCGCCTCGTCGAAAAATGTTAAATAATTCTAGCGAAAAACTTCTGGAGTGCAAAGGGTTAATGTTGAACTTCGTATAATGCCTCGATACGTGAAACATCGGAGAAAACATCTTTGTTGCTCAATATACTCGTGATTTCTTCTAGAGATACTTTCAAAGAATATCAGCTTCACCTCCTCGAAAAATGTTAAATATTTCTAGCGAGAAGCTTCCGAGTGCAAAGGGTTAGAATTAGAAACGATACCGTTCCGCCAGTGCTCCGATCGCTATCTCAGAACTAATTCCCAGGAAACCGGGCTCCGAATTTCTTCTGCCGCTTCTGTTAACCGTCCTCGGAGTGTCTTTATCCTTAGGCGAGTTGCTCACGGTCGAGTAACCTTTCCCCAGGACCCTTTCCAGCTGCAGAATGGCCCGAATCCTGTACTCGTATCGACTCAAAGGATCCAGCGCCTCTAGCCTATCGGCATCGGGGATTTTATTCAATTCCGTCGAAGGGTCTGGCTCCTGCCGCAGTCGAAGAAGGATTACTCCTTCGCTCGCCTCAGTTTCAGCGGATTTTTTCGCCCCCGTTTGCCTCCCCTTCCGCGAAGTGTCCATTCCGGACGATTTTTCGCTGCGAGGCGATTTCCTCTTGGCCCGGTGACTTCCTCCCTTTTTTCGTCCGCTCCTCGCCGCCTCCGGATCGGTTCCCCCGGTTCTTCGCGCGGCTAGTCGCTCTCTGACAGCAGAAATATTCGACACAGGAATGAAATTGGAAATTTCGAGCGGAGTCAGCCGGAATAGAGGTTTCTCGGGGTTAACCCTTTAATAGCCGCGACCGCGGCGTATGTGAATACCGTGGATTAACGAACGATCGAAGCTTGTTCGTTCATTTAACAGTAGGACTACCGTACCAGTCGAAATGACTGGTTCCGATTCTTTTGTTTAGCAATTATTGAATATTCGAAATGATTTTGAAGATAAATAGCTTCATTTGAGTATTATAATGAATGTCTGAGGAAACTGGAAATAATCGATTGTTACAGTTTTTATAGGAATTGCATGTTAATCGTATTAAACGTACCAGTCGAAATGACTGGTTTCGATTCTTTTGTTTAGCAATTATTGATATCTTCGAAGCATTGAATATTCGAAATGATTATGAAAATAGTTTCATTTGAGTACTATAATGAATGTCTGAAGAAACTGAAAATAATCGATTGTTACAATTTTTATAGGAATTGCATATTAATCGTATTAAACGCTTGGTAGTTCTAGTGTTAAAATCGAGACTGTGATTCGGCTTTTATAACACTATGAACTATTGAATGTTTCATGATTCATATGTAATTTTGATAAAAATCCAAAGAGATATTTTTAAATTTCTGCTGATGTTTATTGTATCGTTTGAGTGAAATTATTGATCTTAACTCGCGTTCATAATACTATTGATTGGAAAATAGTAGACTAATTCCTATTTTCCTCGAATAGGAATAATGCTGATATTTAACAAGAAAATTAATTCATTAAGGGGTGAATCGAATTCGTCTAGCACTTGACCGACGGACTACACTCAGAAACGAAATTGCTGGACGTACTTGTGAGCTTCCGCGTAATTCTGATAAGCGTTGTCGATGATCTGTCGCAGCGTAATCGAATATTCGCTCTCGCCGAGAGCTACGGCTTCCGTGATCGCCTTGTCGATCGAGAGCACGGGGACTCGCAACGCTCTCGCGCTTCTGCACGCTGCTTCTTGGTACTCTGGGCGGCAAATTTTATTTGACGTTAACACGTTAACGTTAACGATCTTTCCGGAGCTGAACAGCTTCGGAAGATTTCACCTTTAGTCTTACGATAATGCGAGGCTCGAGAAGATACTCGAGTTGCTTTAATAAATATCGTCAGTGTTATTTGTGCAAGTGAAAAATAATTAAAGATAGCGTTTATGAGTTGATAAACAGGGAAGATTTAATAACTGAGCTAAATCAATTTTTTAAGTTATTTAACCCCTTGGCCTGATTTCTTTCTCAACTCTGATCGATACGGCTACTTTGTCATTAATAATTTAGTGGAAAAAGAGAAAAATCCTCGTTAATATTAGATTTTAATTTGCATATTATAATAATTTCTCGGAAAATTATCTGTATCTTTCCAACAATTTTCAAAGAAATCTAGTATGCGCCATTTTGAACCATTTGGTGGTTATAGTGTTAAAATTAACATTTTTTTTAACCAAATCAAATTACTATAATTCAATGAATTAAACGATGATTATTTGAAAACATTTTTATATCATAAATAATACTACCTAACGCGATGATATTCGCAAGATAAACATAACAATAATAAAACGCTAAAATATTTTGATATTATATTTTTATCATTTTATATCATAAAAATGATTTAATATTATATTTTTCCCATTTTCTGTATTTTACTGTGTGAAATCGTGCATTCCATGTGTTAATAAAAAAAAAATGAACTAAAAAATTCATTTTCTAGTTCTTTTGAACGATCAAAAGAGCCAACATGATATGAAAATGATAAGAAACCCGTGCGAGCGTTCCAAGCTGGCTAATGGAAGTCTGAAATCTCGGCGTCATTTCGCAGCGCGTATCGTTATTTCTTCGCGACTGTTATCGGGGGTTATTCCGAACTCGTGAATGGCTAGGAGGTACACGTGATATTGTGAGACGTTACCGGTGAAGGGAGCTCCGTGGAAAATAATGCAGACTTTCTTCTCCGGCGTCGCAGGGTCCGGAAGATCATTCGGCGGGCCGGATTTCCGCTCGATACTCTCGAAAAGTTCTTTCACGGGGTCTCCCATTCTATCCCGGAAGTCTGAAGTGTCGTGCAGACTCCCCGTGTAACCTTAAATCAAGAAAACGTATTAGTTGTTTCGGCTATACTGCTTCGCGGTATAAATTCTCTTGGCGAACAGTGTATTTTTTGCTCAACACTAAGAAATATTATTGAAATTTCATCTTTAGAAATAATTAAAAAGATATAGACGTTTACTTTTCAACTATTAAAGACATTTGTTTAACGATGAATATTTTAGAGTATTCAATTGAAATTTCAATGAATGCACTGTTGTAATTTGATTGAGAAAATATAAAGCAATTTCAGTTGGTGGTTCTAGCGTTGGAAGATATTTATCTGGTTATTAGATTCTCTTCAAATAATTATCAACATAAAAATAATAGTCAAGTATTAAGCATTTTAAGTAGGAAGTTTTGGTGTTGAAAAATATTTATTTGAGTACTGTATATTTTTCAAATGATTAAGTATCGACGTAAAAACAATAATTGAGTATTAAGTGTTGAGAGGATAATCAGGAATAAGGTAGCATCTACGTTTACCAGCGTCTTCATCTAAGCGATGTTCGCGTTCTGTGTGTTCTTCCTCCACTAATCCTCGGATCGATTGAACTCGAGCCATTTCATCCAGGAGATCGTTGTAAAACTTTATTAAATTCGCGGGTAACGGTTCTCCAGCCTGTTTAGGTGGTAGCAATATTTCCTCGGCGCGATAATAATTTAGTAAAGTGTTTATGACCCGATCGTCCATCTGAAACGAGCTTAAACACCGTCACTTTAATCGAAACGATTATCAAATGTGTCGCGCGATAAGGAATCATCGAGCGTATGGCGATTAAACGAGTCCTCCTTAATGCTAGTTTTATGGTACATGTCAATTTATAATATATAATACATAATATATGATATATGATATATAATATATGATATATGATATATAATATATAATATATAATATATGATATATTATTATATTTCATTAATACAATACATATTGAATTTTTGTATAAACATTATCTAGTAAATGTTTACGTCATTATATATATGTGAAATAAATTAATACATATTTAAATGAATGAACAGCAATTATTTTAAAAATAATAGAATAAACTGTAGTGTTAACAAAAGATTGTTTGTTCATACGCTTACCTATCTAAGTGGTGCCAAAAAAATTCAACTGGATAATCGGACGGATTTTCAATAGTGAAAATCGCGTCCTGTACATGCGTGTAAGGGACCACTGGTAAGAATTTAATAACTGGTTCGGTGATGCGCAGAGTTTTCTCGACACCGCGGCCAGTTAACACGATGGTCGGCGTTTCTAAGCTGGTTTCTACGAGGATGTTCAATTTCATCTCAACATAGCACTGAAAATAGTAACATTTACTTCTGAACACACTGAAAATTCAATATTTAATTCATCTTCTGATACAAGCATCCATTACTCAGAAGGAAGAATAGGAAACGGAAATTGGAAAATCGCAATTTCAAAATAGAAAACTTACGAATTAAAGAATATTGTAGATCATTTTTGAATACATACTGATTTCCATGGCCTGAAGCACACACGGACAACCTCCACTTGCCCAGGTGCACAATAATTGGATTCGGGTTGCACGTAGAACGGACACTTCCCCTGATGCTTTTTCCTAACGTAGGACAATTCTGTTCTCCACTCGCAACCAACGAATCCTCTGGAATATTTTCAGCAATCATAAACGAATTTTAAATGACACCTATCATATAAAATACCATTGAAATATTGTATAGAGAGTATTCAAGTATTACTCGTTTCTTATCTGCACGTGCATCGCTAAACATTCGCCCACGAGGACGTCCTGGAAATCCAGAAACTTCGTGCTGACCGTTACATAAGGATAAGTCACTGTTCCTTTTATGGTTACCGGTATGGTGCACCCTCTTATTACCTACGATTCAATCATTAAACTCGAGAGATCTCGCAAGAAGAAACACGAAAATATAAAGTTTTTGATTGGAACAAATATAATCATTATTTATAAAGTGTGGTGTTATTTATACAGTGCCCCATAAGAATTGCTGTATCCAGTACAGTTATGAATGGTGACACTCAATTTTTGTAATATCCCTAATATAAATATTATATTAAATGTAATATCGTTTAATCGAACGAACTAAAGTCGATTTGATTGGGGGTCACCGGTGAACCCCATGGCATTCAACGTGTTAATCGAGGAAAATTGAATTGAAAGAACGGACTGAATTGTACGACTCACTTCGATGTAAACCGTGCGCTCCACTCGCGCGCATTTTTCCTTATATTTCTCCGCGGTCGGATGCCAAATTACTCGAAAAATGGCAGACTCGCCGACCATTAGGTTCAATCGTCTTTTGAATTGCACCGCGATGCCCAGTTTCTCGAGGGGGTTCTGCTTCTTCCATTTTCTCAATCGCATCTCGACGCTCCACGGCCCGTAATTAATCATTCTCGCCGAACAATCGGCGACTTGACCGATAATTACGTATTCCATATCTGCGGGAAACGTGCCAGCGTCGAGTAAGATTTTGGTCGAATGAAATCCACTTGGATGCTAATTAAGACTTTGCTAATTCACTTTGGTCGGTCTGTAGTCTCAATAAATAAAGATGAATTATTACGGAATGATTTATTAAATAATAAAAATACTAATATAAATAACAGATAAAAGTATTCGTAAAAAGCATCCATCACGCGCATTTTTAATGACGATTCACCCCATTTGAATCACTAATGGGAATATTCCCAAAAAATATCTGCCTCGAGGCAATTAAGGTAATTTCGAATTTTATTAATATATAATATACCCTCAATACCTTATTTGTTTTGAAGTTCTACAATTAATAGTAAAACCTCAGAGTCCTATAATTAGTAAATTATGATGAAAAAAATATGATATTGAATCATTTTATCGAATTGCATTATTACTATTCCATGTTCATCTATCTAAATGTCACTGTATTATGTAGCATTATTTATAATATAGAAATGCTTTCATATAATTATCGTTTTATTGAGTGAACTATAATAATTCGATTTGGTCATGGTAATAATTAAAATTATTAGATTTTCCACACGTGCAAATTTTGTACTGAGAATGGGAAGAAAAGATTGAAGGAATATTACAGCATTTTTCATTTTCATCGGAGATACTATAAAAATTAGTTGCAGTTGCTGATAGATTACAAAACTATCCGGAGTGCTAGAGGTTAATAATATAATAAAAGTAGTGAATTGTTTGATAAATTAATTAAAACAGATAATACAATTACCGCCATCGTACGAATGGGTGAAATTCTCAAAATTAAAATATGCTCGTGTATTTGAACACGTTTACGTTAGCGCCTGTAACAATCGACGCTAAAACGTGCTCCGTTACCGAGAAAGAGTATCGATTTGATTTACGAGATCGGTTCACCGGAAACATACCAATAACGTACTCCGAGGAGAATAAATGAGGAATGGGCTCCTTTCCGAGAGTCGGCGCGTACTGCATCAAGACGTATGAATTCCCGTCGACGAGTTTCCTTGCCAAATGCCTCTCCACGGCCATTTCCACGTCCGCGACGTTAGGGAGCATCTCCTCGTAGGAAACGACGGCCCATCCCTCGCCTCGAACGATACATTAACCGGAGTAAACGCATTGAACTTATTTTTCAGCAGCCACTCGCAAATCTCGTTTGTCGTTTCTCACCGGACAACAATTCGACGAGATCGTCGGGCAAATCGATGCCGTTCAACGAGGAATCGCAATCTTTCAGGGCGTTCTTCGTCTTCTGCGGCAGCTGTCGAATATGGAGTTTTATTAGAATGATCGGATGTACAGAGATTGAAGAGAATAATGGAAACATTGATTGTAATCAGTCGATTTTGTAATTGAGATTAGTGGCAATGAAACTGCAATTATTTTTCAATTATTAACCCTTAGCACTCCGGATGGTTTTATAATTTATCAGCAACTGCAACTAATTTTTACGGTATCTCCAGTGAAAATGAAAAATGCTGTAACATTCCTTTGATCTTTTATTTTCCTTAGTACAAAATTTGGATGTGGAAAATCGAATAATTTTAGGGTAGTTTCTTTAAGATCTATTAAAATACTTGATTTGATACAGCAAAACTAATCAGAGAAAAACTAATAGAATATTTAGTATTTCAAATTGAACTTTGTATTGCTGCAGGGAATATTTAAATAAAATAGCTCTGTCGCTTAATTTATCTGTGAATTATTGATAAATTAGTTTAATGTCGTCTACATCTCGTCGAAAAATGTGGAATCTTTCCAGTGAAAAACTGTCGAGTGCAAAGGGTTAACCCTCAGTCACCACTTGATTTGATACAGCAAAACTAATCAGTAGAATATTCAGTATTTCAAATTGAACTTCGTATTGCTACAGGGAATATTCAAATAAAACAGCTCTGTCGCTTAATTTATCTGTGAATTATTGTTAAATTAATGTCGTCTATATCTCGTCGAAAAATGTGGAATGTTTCCAGTGAAAAACCGTCGAGTGCAAAGGGTTAATAAGAAACGTCCTGAGCATAATACGCATACATAAGATGTTTCCATTATCCCCGTCTCCCGTGCAGTGCCGATAAAATCAGAAAACCGCAGGGGATTCCTCACGTTCGCGAGAAACTCGTCGGTCAACGATCCTATCGCGGCGTATTCGGACTCGATGGAATGCTGCCGATGCAAATTGCCGCGCGGCATGCACGGGAACACCTGAGGAAACGACCCGATCGCTTTCACGGTTATCGTCGCCGGCATTAAATGGCCGATCTGAAATAAATAAGACGGATCGGGGGATCGTATATTTCGGGATAAGCCTCGGGAATCGTTCGCTCCTCGAGATTCGAGACGATCCGAGGGGGCGAGCGGAGAGGAGAGACGCGGGGGGCGGACGTGCCTCGAGCTGGAACCGATGATCGATGGGACCGAGGATCGTCGGACGGTGCTCCACATCAAATTCCACGAATGACTGAGCGTCCACGAATCCCGTGTTTGGCTCGACCATTAGCGGATTTATATCGAAGTTATCGACCGTCTCGTCGGGGGCGGCGGCGTTCGAGCCGGTTATTTTATAGCCGAACGCCACCCCGCTGTTGTTCCTCAAAGCGAACCGTCTGCGACCGGATTCCAAAAGCGGCTGCAACAGATGCACGTGTCGCGACGTCTCTCTCGATTACGGCCGGTAATAACTTCGAGTGATCTCCCCTGGAAACCTTCCAATCACTTTTTTCGGCTTTCTCCGTTGTCCCGAGGAATTCCACTTTGAGAACCCTCGAGGAACTTGGAAATATTGTCGACGCTACCGGTCTTTGTAGGCTTCTGTGATTAAACTGAGAAACTTGAGGTCCTGATCGTTCTCTGGATCTTTCAGGTCTTTGCAAAGCACTTGCATTTTTGAGAATTTTTACAGATTAGACCTCAGTTTTCAGTAAGTTTTGGAAATCTTAGTTCTCCCAACGGATCTGGTTTCTTTGGAAATCGAGGAACTTGGAAATATTGTGGACGCCACCGGTCTTTGTAGGTTTCTGTGATTAAACTGGGAAACCTGAGGTCCTGATCGTTTTATGGATCTTTCAGGTCTTTGCAAAGTACTTGTATTTTTGAGAATTTTCACAGATTAGACACTTCCTTCGTGGAATAGTTCAGATATTGCGAAGGACCTCAGTTTTCAGTAAGTTTTGGAAATCTTAGTTCTCCCAAGGGATCTGATTTCTTTGGAAATCCTGGGGATCATTCATTCTGTGGGCCTTATTGATCTTGAGTAATTCTGTTGTCTCGGAAGAAATCTAGAAAGCTTATAAGGCTCTTGCAACTTTTAAGTCTATAAATTCTAAAGAAATTTGTAAGTCACTGGAAGATTCGCAGGGATTTATGAGAGCGAGATCTTAAGGAACTTTGGTTAATCTAGAGTTTTAGAATTCTTTCGAAGGCTTTCGCGAAAATTCGTGGGACTCGAACGGTTAAGGAACAATTTACCTATATAAAAAACTAAATTTCAAGACCCTAAAAATGACAATGAACAAATTATTAAAATTTGTTAAAACCTCTGCCAAGCTCATCGATAGAACATCATGTCGTGGATTCGTTGTTCGACACAGTTTCGTTCGAATGAACTGATTACCTGTTGTCCGAAATCGATCGTGTCGGTATCAACGGCGAACCGAATTGCATCGGATCGCGCGCATAGTTGAAACTGTTCGGTAGGGCCACGTAATATTTGACAAACGGCTGTAGCTTTTATTCGAAGCCGTTCGAAACCGTGAAATCCAACGTGGACGTGCTGTATCGTGTACGGCGGTACAGTTCCCTCGCGCGGAATAATTTCTAATATCTAGATAACAATGCCTATTATTGTATGACTGTATTATTACATTCGGCGAGAATGCCGAGAAGCATTTCCAACGGTTCCGGAATAAATGAAGATCCACTAACGTCGTTGACGTAATGAGTCCTTCGGGGCTCGTCCCTCATAGTTTCGAAGGCAGCGAGGTCCAACTCTTCCTCGAAGTATTTCTCGACCAAGGGCAGCAGAAATTCTCTCATTTCTTCCTTGGACACCGCGCACTTGTCCTCTTCGACGTCGTCCTCGGTGCTGCTGTCCAATTTGAGTTTCTGCGCGTGCGTCTCGGAGACGGGCGCTGAAACGAGGCGTTTCATCTTACATTTAAAATTTCATATTTTAACACTGGAACTACCGTATCAGTGAAAATAACTGGTTTCGATTTTTTTGTTTAGCAATTATTTATATCTTCGAAGCATTGGATATTCGAAATGATTTCGAAAATAAATAGTTTCACTTGAATACTGTAATGAATGTCTGAAGATTATTGATATCTTCGAAGCATTGTATACTGCATCAATACGTATGATATTGAAATAAAATAACTATCCTTCTCAATTCATGTATGTTTTCTCATTAATTAGTTTCAAAGAACATCGTCTCTATCGCATCGAAGAATATTGGATGTTTCTAGTGAAAAACTTTCGAGTGCAAAGGGTTGAAACTTTTTATTTGAGATTTAACACGTTCCATGCCAGACCGTTTTTTGAAGACTTTCAAAATTTACAATTGTGTTATTTTGCTTAGGAAAGTAATTTTATCTGAATATTCCATATATCGATGCATCATACAAAGCTTAACATTATATATAAGACTTTATAATTTTGCAAATCAAACCAAGCGGTGACAGAGTCACCTCTCGAAAGGGTTAAATTTCGATTTCTAAATTTCCACAGCAAAATATTAATAACCACGCGTGTTACGAGACAGTGCAAGATAAATGGCGTGATTATAATGCAATGCAGTCTTAAAGTTCGTTCCAACGCGTCCTCCCGTAGTCTAATTACTCGGGAAACAATTATATCCGCGCGAGTGTCCGAGACGTAGCAATTAGGAGTAAACGGGTGGATACAATTCATGGGTGGCGGTATCGATTGAAGTGGACCGTCTCCGCCGCCGTCCTGCCTGTCGTTCGCGGAGCCGCCTTCGTTCGTCGCAGCTGACACAGGAGCGCCGGGAGTCGCCGGTCTGATCGTGGGATGCGTGTGCACCGAGCATTCCTGCGAGCACATAGATTGCCCCAATTAAATCCGCCGTATAGCCCGCATTCGGCGTGCAGGCTGGTTTATTCAAATTACCGGTAAATTATTCGTGTCGTTGCGACAGCAGTCACTGACCCGATTCTTTCGCCGATCGATAAGCGTCGAATTCGTTTCTGGTAAACGAATTAAGACGAGGGCGGTTTCACCGAATTTTAGAGCATTTCGTTCTGAGCTCGATTCTATTTGATACCGCGATAAAGAAAACACGAGTGGGACACAAATGAATTTAATAATTTAATGATTTTCTCTGTGGTTGTGCTGGTTAGATTTATTCTATACTGTAAATAATTTACTAAAAATGCAGAGAAGCTTTCTTTTCGGTGAAAATGTACATTCAGCTTAATTGTAAAATATTGGTAATGATAAAAGGAGTTTTCATTTCGATCCATATGAACCTAATCTAAATGAATCTTTATGGCGAGGATTACTTGTTACTGTATGGCAAGGGTTAAATAAAGATGAACACTATACAACACTATATCGCTGCAAGTTTCAACGTGTATTGAGGTTTTAAGTAGGAAATATACAAATACATTGAAATCTATATGAAATGGTTATATAAAATTTATTTATAAATTTCTGTCATATGAAGAACGACAGAAATTAGGGTGAAGTAGATCTGAAAATCTGTGCAGCGCGCAACTTAGAAATTTATTGTAAAATTATTAGTCGATAGAAACAAAGTATAATAATTTCTGGAATAATCGAGATCCAAAAGATATAATATGTCATATCTTTTATATTAATTACCAATCGTTCGAGTGAATTCTCTTTACAGTGACTTAAAAGTCGGAGGTCGATCAACCAAATGGCCCCCAAAATCACTGAGTCACTAAGGTACATAACGAGCCACAGATAAGATACCTAAATTGGCCATCGAACGCGCTCTTCAGAATTTTGATCAGCCCGTGACAGGAGTTTTTATACTTACGCAATCGTCGTTCGTGTAACGTTCCATCTCGATCGAGTCCTCTATCCACAGGAATTTGTACACGACCGATACGGGGCCATTATTGGTCAGCGTCAATATTTTCTCGGCACTCGAGCCAAGTTCGCAATTAACAGTGCAATTGGCGGGTTCCAAAACCAGATTCGGCAAGTTGACCAGACCTTTGCACACGATCCGATCCTGGACAAATCATTCGTTCGTTTCAAACTACCCTCCATTCGCCTCCTGACTTATAATATTGAATTAAACGATTCGTGAGACGGTTTCGAACAAAATTTAACCCTTAGCACTCCAGATGGCTTTGTAATTTATCAGCACTAATTTTTATGGTATCTCCAGTGAAAATGAAGAATGCTATAACATTCCTTCGATCTTTTATTTTTCTTCTATACAAAATTTGGATGTGTGGAGAATCGAATAATTTTAGGGTAGTTTCTTTGATTCGTTAAAATATTTGATAACTGGTGCAATATTGCCTACAGAGTTCAAAGGTGTTTCGACTTTCTTTATTCAATCACGTAGAAATACTTCTTTTGTTTAAATACTGTATTTTACTAGTAGATGTAGGTAAAAGTTGTAGAACCTGACCCAAATTGATGTAGGAAAATATAATACTCGTCCAGATATAATATTTATAATATTCCCTCGTAAAACAAGGGATTAAAAAAGCTAACGAGCTTCAGCTACTTAATACGTTGCCGCACAATCTCATAAAACAAACACACAAAATAGAAAGAATATAATATTAAATTATTCGATTGTGCATTATTATTGCTGCACGTTGATTTAGCTGAATGCCTCCGCATTAGGGAGCATTATTTATAATACAGAAATGTTTTCAAATAATTATCGTTTAATCGAGTGAAGTGTTAAGCGGACAAAACAAAACCAGTTAACTCATTAGAATTTGCCTTTTACTCCCAATATCATTTCCATCTCATGAATCAATAATTCACGCTCCGTTATGGTGTAATATTAACAATCATATTATTATGTAATATATTTTAAATAGATAATCAATTCGAATCAGATTGAATATTTATCTAATGTGGTAATTAGGAAAGTTACATAGCTAAGTGTCTTTATAGAAACGAAATTTCTCGTTGCCAGTACGCAATGTATATAGTCACGAGTATTTAAGGCAAAAACCACGGGGTTAACAGGTGAAGTAAGACCTGAAATACTCGTTATTACTTCCGCAGATTCAATTAGACGGCACGTCTGTCGTTGCACACCAATTTCGCGACTTCCTCATCGAATGGCAGGATTCAATTTACCTTATTTGGGTGTTCGTCGTATTCAAATTGAAGCACGCCGTTGTAATTTTGTGAATAGAGGATGCTGTCGTTCACGGAGAAGAACAGCCGTACTTTCGTGACCTGGCCGTCGTACAAAATGACTTTCATGCTCTGCGAGTGTTGTTCCTCGTCGTTCACCAGGTGAAACGGGGCTTTCACCGAAAGCTCCGCGTTAATGTGCAGCTTCGACATGTTTGTCACCAGCAGCTCTTCTGCGCAACGATCGTGTCAATTGTGAACAATTCTGGGAACACTGATTGTCAATCTGTACTTGTTTCTAGCAGTCCCTTTTCTCAATCAATCTTAATCCCAGCGATTCAATTAATTAGTCTCTACTCTAGCTCCTATTTGCTTACTCTACCTCATTCTACGCCATTAGAAAATTAATTACAAAATTGGAGAAGGTCACCAGGATGGTCAATATGTCCAAGATTCAAAAAATAAAAATAATTCTCCACTATAGATTTTAACCCTTTGCACTCTTTACGTAAAAAATGAAAGAGCGTTTAAAAAATTGTCATCTGTATCTCATAAAAATGAATTGAATATTTCTACTGACAAATTTTTCCAGTGCAAAGGGTTAACAGAAAAGAACATTATTCGTGGAATGACGAAATAATAGGTAACGAACCTGTTTGATGTCTCTTCTCACCGTCAGGACAAACGTCGACGCGAAAAGCCAATTCTTTCTTGTCAAAAAGAATTTGCGGCTCTGTGAGGACGGCTTTGAAAGTTGAACTACCAATCAACTCGCGCCTTGATGCACCCGCTGCTCTACCGAAGACGTACCAGTCCTCCGTGACGCATTCGTTGCTATCGACAAAGGGGAGTGCAATTTCTCTATAACTTCCTGAAGTTTCGTCCTCTTTAATAATTGAACTTTTACTCACATCTCCCAGAGCAGTTCGCAATGCACCACTATCTTCTCCTCCGGCTCGATTTCGAATACCAATGGCTTGATTTGGAACATGGAGCTACGTGAAGAGAAACTCATATCATAAACAGACTGCGGGTGTTCATGCAAATGTGGACGTTCACGAATCGGCTAGAGCATCGTTTCATTCAATAAACTCATTAATTTCTCAATTACGAATCTTATGCAAATTCCCTGGAACTTATTTCGTTCGATTGATTGAATTCATCTAGGAATGCCGATAAATGTGCAAAATGTTCGAAAAATACAAATTTCAAGAATAGAATTGCTTTAAGACCTTAAACTGCTTAAGAATTGCTTTGTACCACATGTAGTACACGTTAATTTTTGTAACAAAACATGGTAAATAATAGCTGTATACGTTACAATGCATAGAAAACATGAAGGAACGATATCAAAATATATAAAATTTAAAGAAAACTTGAATATAACTTAATATTTTATTTAAAATATCAACACAGTTTATAAGCAAAATGTGACCGAAATTTCCGTGGCACGGAATGTGTTAATCCTTTGAACTCTGCAAGCTCCAATATTGCACCAGTTATAGTACTAAATATTTTAATGGATCTTAAAGAAACTACCCCAAAATTATACGATTTTCCACGCATCCAAATTTTGTAGTGAGAAGGAAAATAAAAAAATGAAGAAATATAGCATTTCTAATTTTCGCTAGGAATACCATAAAAATTATTTGCAATTGCTGATAAATTACAAAACCATCTGGAGTGCTAAGGGTTAAATGTACAGGCGAATTTAACGGAACAAAGAGATACGGTAAAATTGAACGTCACTTACTATTGCAGCCCGGTCAGCTGACCCCGATTTATCTGCACTTGCGGAGTGTTAGACCAGACGATTTGGTACGCGATGGTCCCATAATTTGTTACCGTTATCGTCTGATGGCTCGTCTGGTGACTGCGCGAGGAAATCGGAATAACGATCGGAGAGAACAAATACGGAAGAATTGTGTTGTTATTGCAAATAAAGAGAATGATGCCTGAACATGAAGCCTAAATCGCAGACAGGAAATATCCGCGGCTCGAAAACGACGCTGCATCCGACACCGTACGCTCTTATCTCGATGCTGATGGCTCGGTTATTTACTAGAATCAGCACGATCCTGTCTCTGAACTTCCCCGCGTCTCGTAGACGCAGTGTGATGTTGATTTTCATTGATTCGTGCGGATTGAGGTAGCCGGAATGGGGATTAGCAGTCCATAACAAATTCAGCTTGTGCTGGAGCAAGATTGGATCGTTTTTGGGATTTTGTGAGACACTCGTTAGAATGGTAAGGGTTGATGCTAAGAACACTAGAACTACCAGAGAGGTTAAAATGACTCATTACTGATTGCTTCTTTAACACTAGAACTACCGAGCATTTAATGCGATTAATATGCAATTCCCATAAAAATTGTAACAATAGATTACTTTCAATGCTTCGAAGATTTCAATAATTGCTAAACAGAAAAATCGAAACCAGTCATTTTGACTGTTCGGTAGTTCTAGTATTAATAATTATCAAAAACACAACAGATAATTCTCTGAGAAATTACTAGAGATTGATTCAGCGATAGGCAAACTGAATTGTAAATCAACAGAAATCTCAATAGTAGCACTGTCGGAGTTTCCATAGAAAAATGTGAAATAGTCAGTTTGACTGTTTTATAGTTCTAGTGTTAATAATTATTAAAAACACAACAGGTAATCCTCTGAGAAATTACTAGATATTGATTCAGCATTAGGCAAACTGAATTGTTAATCAATAGAAATCTCAATAGCAGCACTGTCAGAGTTTCCATACATAAATTTCAAAAAGTCAGTTTGACTGTTCGGTAGCTCTATTGTTAAGGAGGTTCTCTCACCATAGAGACTGAAAACTGAGCTGGTATAGGCGAATCATTGGTCACCAAGAAGCTTGTCGTTACGTCTTCGAGAACTGGAATATTTTCCAGGTCCAAAAAGGTCGGTTCAGTAGAAATTAGAGGTCCTTGTCCGATGTAACTGATGGTGCAAGCTAACTTAGGGGATTCTTCTCCCATTGCCAACATACTAACACGATTAAATTATGGATTACTATTAATCTGGAATTTTGTAATTAGTTCTTATGCTACTGGATTATACTTGATGCTCAATGTCTGGTTTCCCAGGATCCTCGTGATGATGGTTACGCAGACAGCTTTCTTCTGACCAGCCTTGATGAGGCCTTGGTTCGTCGATAATGAATAGATCACTGGAGGATTATCTGAAACCTTTATAAGAATATACAATTAAATCTTTGTGGAGCAATGTCGATATTCCGGAGAGATGAAACTTTCTTGTTTGGAATACTAAGTGCAATTATTTAACTACTCGAACAGCAAGAAATCAGTACATAGTTTACTCATTCTCTATCATTTAACCCTTTGCACTCGAGAGTTGACTCTCACTCACCACTTGATTCGATACAGCAAAATTATTAAGTCTTGCACATACTGTTAAGCTTTGTATAATGCATCAATTCATATAATATTGAACAAAACTATAAAGTTGGATATTTAATATTTCAAATGAAACTTCGCATTGTTACGTGAAATATTGAAATAAACCACCTCTATTAATTTATCTATGAATTATCGTTAAATTAGTTACAGATAATATCACCTATATCTCGTCGAAAAGTGTTTATTATCGAAAAATATTTCCATTGAAAAACTTTCGAGTGCAAAGGGTGAAGGACGCGCAGAGTTACCGGTTGCGGTGGCAAGTAGAAAAACCCGTCGAAGTCAGACGCGTTCACCACGTCGAACGTTTTCGTGCAAGGATGATTGAGGAAGCAGTAACGGTCGACGATCTCGCTGGGAACGATCGACAGGCAGGCCACGACGCCGCGGAATTCGATCGTCAGCGCCAGAGCATCCGAGTCCGAGTCCCATAAGTCGACCTCTAATCTCGTGCGGCCATCGCGGACGATGTTCGCCGTGTAAATCACCTGCGAATCGCGTAATCGACGTTGCAGCGACTTCGCAGATCGCGTGCATGATTGATCTCCAAGAAGATTCGAGGTTCACCTTGAGTTTGAGGAAACCGCTCGCAGAAACCACCCCCGTTTCGGGGGTGACGAAGAATTCCCGCGGGTCGGAGGGGAAACTCGGCTTCATCTGAGCCCTGGCGAACTCCTCGTAGGTCAGAGGTGTCTGGTGCCCGTCGTTCAGCAGCCTCAGGCTGAAGGCCACCGGGACCAGCGACTGATTGTGCAGGCAGACCTCTTGTTTGCTGCTGAATCCTTAAATCGAGCAATCTTGGCGAATTATCTTATGATTTATGCTCGGATATAATTATTCGCCAATTTTTGAGAATCGTTTTATGGGGTTTCAACTTTGCATGAAAATGTTGGTCATATTTTGGGATATGTTTCATGAGGTTTTGTTTTCTAAAAGCAGTGGCATATTTTTGGGGTTGTTTTACGAGGGTTTGTCTTTAATATGAAAATATTGACTAGTTTTGTAAAATATTTTATGAAGATTCAAATTTGCATGAAGATATTAGTCATATTTTGGGATATGTTTCATGAGATTCTGTTTTCTAAAAGCACTGGCCTATTTTTGGGATTATTTTACGAGGGTGTATCTTTAATATGAAAATATTGACTAGTTTTGTAAAATATTTTATGAAGATTCAAATTTGCATGAAGATATTGGTCATATTTTGGGATATGTTTCATGAGGTCTTGTTTTCTAAAAGCACTGACCTATTTTTGGGATTATTTTACGAGGGTTGGTCTTTAATATGAAAATATTGACTAGTTTTGTAAAATATTTTATGAAGATTCAAATTTGCATGAAGATATTGATCATATTTTGGGATATGTTTTATGACGTATTATTTTCTAAAAGCACTGGCTAATTTTTGGGGATTATTTTATGAGGATTTATCTTTAATATAAACATATTGGCCAGTTTTGTAAAATATTTTATGAAGATTCACCTTTGCATGAAGGTATTGCCTAATTTTTGAAATATATTTTATGAACATTCATCTTTGCATGAAGGTATTGCCTAATTTTCGTAAGATATTTTATTGTGATTTATCTTAAAACAGCATGATAAATCCGACGTACCCAGGGGCGTCGCGCCAAAGTCGAGGCTCTCCTTGTCGAAGTGCAGCGTCGGGCACACGATGCAACCCCTGCGAGGTACAGGAGAATCATCCAGTGCTCTAGGTACGATCAATCTGTTTACGTGTCCCAGCTAAACGACTCACTTGATATGCAGACTGTGCACCTCGAGGCTCTCCTTAACAATGAAATCCAACCTTTCGACGAAATCGCCTTTGCGGTTCGAGGAGAACCTCAGGTTGAAAGACTTGTGCTCGTCCGGCTTCAGGAACAGGCAGGTCGGCGTGATCTTGATCGTTCCCCCGAAATCGGCCGGTTTTGGCTTGTAAATCATGGTGCCGGGTATGTGGCCCTTATTGGCGACGATTACCTGCCATTGTTTCAATTATATTCATCGTAATTCTTCACTATTATTATTGTTCATCGCTGCAGATATCTATACACTCGTAGCAACCGAAGATTCTCGAAAAAAACTGAGAAAGTATCGATAGATTCTCAGTTTTTCACGCAGTTGCTTATCGTCATTTAGACCAAGACATGAACACATGCATAAAAATCTGACGTTTTGACGAATTGAGAAATTGCGAATTGAGAATACCTCGAAATTGTGCACGGAGCACAGGTAAACGTTGCACATGTCGATCGTGAGCACGTTCAAGCGGAAGTACGGTCCCTTTCCAGTTCCGTGCAGACTGTCACAGAAATAGTTGTAAATACACGATGCTTTATTCTGTCCTTTTCAATCTTTATTTAAATATTATTTTACTCAGAGATTTCAGGAATGTTACTCGCCTCAGTGGGATTCTACTCTCGCGACCAGTCACTTCTAAGTAGGCGATGCTGCTGACTTCGCCGACCTCGAGCGCGCGGAACAGCACCGTAACGTCTGTCGACGACTGCGGCCAAATTTCACCCTCCTAGGAGAATTACCATTAAAAATTACCATTACAAGTTTGCTCGATCGAGTTGTTTTCGTATTACCAAAATTGTACCTCAGGAGTGAGCATGAAGGATATGTGACAGTAAGGGAACGTTTCCTTTTTCAACGACTCGATCTCGTCCGCGTAAATTCGCTGATAGACCAGCTGATGAATGTCGGGCATGCACACGTTGTAATGAACGAGATTGACGGATCGAACGAGCTCCGATTCGTACACCAGATGAAATAACCTTCTGTATCTGTGATAGAAGCAGACTTTTCAGTGTTTCTCGTGCAATCTCGTTTCTTGACTTGTTCGTTTTTTAGAGTGTTACGCTGCATGTCTGTTTAATACTAGAACTACCGAACATTTAATACGATTGATACGTAATCTCTATAAAAATTGTAACAATAGATTTCAGTTTCTTCAGGCATTAGTTATAGTACTCAAATGAAGCTATTTATTTTCGAAATCATTTCGAATATTCAGTGCTTCGAAGATATCAATAATAGCTAAACAAACAAATCGAAACCAGTCATTCTGCCTGAGTACGGTAGTTCTAGTGTTAACCACTTGGATGCTAAACAACTTTTGTTGAGATTTACCAAAAATACGGAAGTGATCGGGTGTGTATGCGAAAAAATTAATAAGAGTAGTTATCTAATGAGGTCACAAATATTGTGTTATTACAAGAAACATCAAAAAATAATATTTATTCAAATAAATTTACTTTAAGTTATTTCTTGCAAAATATAGTAAAGGCGCCTCCGCAATTAATAAAAAGAGTGTCCTATTATCATTTAAATATAATATATCTAGGATGTGACTGTATAGGGAATTGTAACAACTCGCGTATTCTAACGAACACAGAAATTATAGTTCATTAAACTGAAATAATTAATAAAAACAATGTACTTTTCTAGATCGTTTGCGATAGACTCTCACATTTTTTTAGCTTATCCTGCCTTCCTGTTTCCTATCACACTACCCCGCCGCTCAACCCGCACGCACTGTTTGCAGTCATCCCTAATCATTCTTCCCTTCTCTTCGCAAACATCCCTTCTCATTCGCCCCCTGTCTCTTGCATCCATAGCCAGCGTTCTCGCAGTCGCGTATACACTTTCGAAATTACGTCATTCTCATGGTCCAGTCGCTCGGTTCTAAACATCCTTCCTTCAGCCACTCGAGATTATCCTGTTTGCAGACGTACTTCCCCTAAACACAGCTGCGCCGCACGGTCGCAACATGACAGCAGCTACACGCCCACAGTCGTTCATTCATACCTTAACCGGTTCACTGCGTTTGACGAGTATACACGTCATCTTGAACCTTGGAACGATACTGTTTCTTTCGACGATGAATTATTTATTTTCTCAGTTAACCCTTTGCCGAGAAGTGACTAAGTCACCACTTGATTTGAATTTTTGAATGTTTCTCTTTTTCCAATAAATTATTAATGACAAAGTGACCGTATCGATCAGAGTTGAGAAAGAAATCATAGGCCAAGGTGTTAACAGGTTAAGAACTAAGCATTATTATGAAGGTACCTCGTTGCCTGCGTCGCAGCGCGTTTTCCATCCCTACATATATCTATGACTTCATACAACATACACCTGACCCTCGATTTATGCGAAAATCCGTTCCATGTGTTTTACGCTAACGAAAATCGCATAAATAGAGCTTGTCGATGCAAGGGAAAACAAAATATTGAAGGGACAGCTGGTATCAGTTTTAGAGATACATACATACATATTTAGAAACACATCTTTATTTCACATAGCTTCACAAAGAAACAATAACGAAATATTAGAAAACAAAATTATATTTTATTCGTAACAAAGGCTCTCGTGGTGTGCGCGTAAATCGATGGTCAGGCGTACCATTCATTACTACGAATAATACATTCCCAGCATTTCAATATTTCCTTAAAACTATACATTCCCTTGCATTAAGGCTTCCAAAGATTGTTTACCTGAATCAGCAAGAACATTCGCGTATGCCCAGCGTATAATACATAATCAATCAAATATTTATTCTCGAGAAGGGCAGTTCATTCGCATCCATCCTTATCGCAATCTTACTCGGTTCGTCGTAGCTCGTCAGCCTCGGAATCCTTCAGCAGCATCCACTTGTAGTTGACGACGTGATCGCTCCCGTTGTGGATCGTCAGTACCTTGCTCCTGGACAGACCCAAGTACGTCTCCTCCATTCTGATGCAGCCCCTGTCGACGCGAACCGGAGAATTCTCCGCGGAACAACGGACGTCCATCCCGAGCTTCTCCCCTGACGAATGTAAAAAAGGGAATAGAAAAATCGGGGCTCTCTGATTACCGGCGTTCCTCGATTATGGAACGACCGGCGAACCTGTTTCGTATTCGACGAAGAGATCCCCCTCGAAGTCCCCGGCTGTCTTCGACGAAAAGCAAACGGTGAATTGCAGCGTCTCCTCTTCCTCCATTCGACCTTTCGGCGGCTCGATCCAGAAACGCGCGCTGGAATTCACGTGAAATCGATCTAGTTAGCGGCGCAGCGGTTAATCGTGATTAGCATTCGGAAGGCGGACGGTTCTGAGGGTTGTCTAAATGATGATGCTTAGGTATTTAAATTTCGTATTTATTAACCGATTGAGTAACGGAGGTTTTTGAAAATGACGGTGGAAAAAGCTGAACAATAGTGCTTTCTGAATGGGATGAGAAAAGATAAGCGGCGTGATAGCGTTTGCTAACCCTTTGAACTCTGTAGGCTCCAATATTGCACCAGGAATAATATTAGATATTTTAATGAATCAAAGGAACTACCCTAAAATTATTCGATTTTCCACATCCAAATTTTGTACTAAGGAAAATAAAAGATCGAAGAAATGTTACAGCATTTGTCGTTTTCGCTAGGAACATTTTCTTAGATTGAATTAAGAAATCTCACATGCATTGAGAACTATTTTCTTTCAATATTTTGTACATTGATGCATGATACAAAGGTTAATATTAAATATCAAACTTTATAGTTTTGCTGTGTCAAATCATTTGGTGATCTAGAGGCGCCTCTGGAGTGCAGAGGGTTAAAATCTTTGAAAATATAGGTGAAACTCGATTAAGTCTGTCCCAGGAATTTGAAAATCTAAACACCAAACACTAAAATCTGACGATTCCAAGGGTTAAATTAACGAATCTTCGATTACTTGTCGCTGTAAAGAGTGAAGACAGCAGCCGCGTTTCCCACGTTGCGCACCAGTAGCGTTTTAGAGGACGGGACCTTTACTGCTGTGCCTGGCAACTCGATTCGATCGGGGAAGTCCAAGATCCCTCTGGGTCCGATTGCTGAATCGTAGGAATTTCGTTTAATTCAATTTTTAACGTTGATTAATATTAACACTAGGTTTACGGGCATTTATTGTACACTTCATTCTATTATTCCTAAAAGAATTGATGCTCGTTCATTTAGATTGTGGAAACTGGAGATTCGATAGTAATTGGGGTACATGTCAATGTGATCGCATCAATCGAAATCGGCGTAAACATTTACAAAATAATATTTCTAAAATCCAGTATGCGTCAATTTCACGCGTTCCGTGAACCTAGTGTTAATTTGAACGTTGCTTTAACATTTGAGAAACATAGCGTTTCACGTAACAACCAACGATTTTGTAAATAATTTTCTGACATTCGGGAATTATAATGTAGCCATGTTAACCGTAGTTATTTTATTATCACGTCTATAATATTTCGAAAGGAAGAGATATTAAACCTGCCTACGACTGGTACTATGATTTCCCCTACGTTCGTCGTGAATTTTAATCGATATTCATAGTCTATTTCCTCCTCGGGAACAAATTTTACGTTGTAAGAGTTCGAGAGTCCCGGTGCGACCATCATCGAGCACGATCCACGATTTTCGACGGAGAAGAAGGGATTTACGTCACAGGAAGTCTTCAGATATCGTGATACCTGAGTTCACAGAATGTTTTATTACTATATTGAAAATTAATACACTTCAGCATTTAATAGTAAATACACAGTAATACACTATACAATAAATTCTACATACAAGGAAAACATTTAACCCTATTTTTGTAATTTTTTTCAATGTTAAAAACGTTAATATGCAGCATATTTATGGATTAAGTATTGAAATAATTTTAAAACGTTTATTAAAACTGTATATACTTGACAATAATGTATAATATATAACTAAATTTTATTTATATATTATACTTCATTATACACAACGAAATTTATATATCATATATTATACTTCATTATACACAACGAAATTTATATATCATATATTATACTTCATTATACAGACTCGAGTGCAAAGGGTTATTATCTCCAGATTACCTGCGATACGTTGCGAACAGTCACGATAACATTGAAAGCCTCTCCGGCGTTGAATCTCTGAAAGATGACGACGCTGGGGCTGACATCGAAGTTCGAGTCGAAGGTTTTCGAGCAGCAGGACAAGTCGTGTTTGTACTTCGATTTCAGAATGAACTCCAACCTCTCGTCCGTGGTCATTAGCATCTGCTTCACGTACTCGGAGGGTCGGGCGGTCTGTTAAACGTTAAAAGCCTCTGCTTTCCGTTGCCCGCGAATCCGACAGAGATTTATCCGCGTTACGATGCTCTCGGAACTAACCCCTTTCTCGTTCTCGTTCCTCCCCTTCCGCGCCGATGCCAGCAAACGCCGCGTTACGTCTAACACGCTGAACGGTTCGGTATGATGCCTTATTCGGTCCTGTTCCTCCTCATTCATCTCGGTCGCGCGGTATTCCAACGGATTTCCCTTCGTTCGTGATCCCTGTCGATACGCAAAACGTTAGGGATACACACTATCGGTGGCAGGTTCCGGTTGGCTCTCGGCTCGATCAGATATTCTTCAGTTGTTCGCGATGCATGCGTTCGCACGATGAATCTGGTACGATCTCGTGCTATGTTCGTTCATTGCAGGCAGGGGTAACAAACAATTGATGTCCTGAATTCCAGAGTAGAAATCCAACTTTAACCCTTAGCACTCCAGATGGTTTTGTAATCTAGCAACTGCAACTAGTTTCATAGTCAATTCATGAGAAACTCTATAACGTTCCTTTGATCTTTTATTTTTCTTCTCAGCACAAAATTTGGATGTGTGGAGAATCGAATAATTTTAGGGTAGTTTCTTCGATTCATTAAAATATTTAATAGTATAGCTGGTGCAATATTGCAGCCTACAGAGTTCAAAGGGTTAAAATTGGAACTACCAAAGCATTCAACTGAATTATTTATAATTTCTTATCAATATCAGAAGGGTGTATTTCTTTGAAGGATTTTAATTAACCCTTAGCACTCCAGATGGTTTTGTAATCTAGCAACTGCAACTAGTTTCATAGTCAATCGTGAGAAACTCTATAACGTTCCTTTGATCCTTTATTTTCCTTCTCAGTACAAAATTTGGATGCGTGGAGAATTGAATAATTTTAGGGTAGTTTCTTTGATTCATTAAAATATTCAATATTACAACTGGTGCAATTTTGGAGCCTACAGAGTTCAAAGGGTTAATGTTATCCATATGAGGTAGTGATGTAACCGTTTTCAGGTTATTAGCACATTGCGCACTGGAAACGAGAAATCTCGTTTTTATGTAAATACCTACCTTCGTAACTTTGCTAATTAGCGCATCGTTTGAGAAATATTGAATTTTATTGAAACTGATTATTTTAGAATTGTTTAGATGTTTATCAACTGATATAAGATATGTACACGTAATGAATAACAAAATAGATAATGAAGGAATGAACGAGGATGGAAAGAAAGATCGATTTTCTCGAAATTATTGATTCACTTGTGTCGCTCTGGAATTCATCTAACATACGACCACGTGTCACGTATCAATTTTCATTTATTTCGAGGCCAACCTCGAATGTTTGAATAATAATTATCGAGTAACGTCGAACAAACGAGAAGTTCAACGAAAGAGGGATGAAATAAGATTCGATTGAATTAGAAAGTTTCTAGATCGATGTTAGAATCACGCCACCACTTGATGCTCGTCATAATAAGATACGCTGATTGGCGTGGATCACGCCGTCGGAACGTGGCACGGTTCTTTGAGCGCTTAATCCAAAATTAGTGAAAGTTCAGGCGGTTTCCGGGCTGCAGTTTCTAAGCCTATGAAACTCGATGGTGCAACTTACTTGATTGTCGACTGTCTGCGCTCGCAAACGACGCGAAACTGTCTTTCCACGATTGCTATCCGTTAATACCTCTAAACGAGCGAATAAAACGCGTACAGTGAAACCTAATAAAGCCAATTATTAAGATTGAAATATTCATTCGTAATTCGCAATTTGAGACGAAATGTTTAATTCAACTCCTACATAATCGGAATCATATTAGAAACAATAGAACTACCGAGGATTTAATACGACTGATATGTAATCCCCATAAAAATTCTAACAATAGATTATTTTCGGTTTCTTCAGATATTCATTATAGTATTCAAGTGAAGCTATTTATTTTCAAGATCATTACGAATATTCAATGCTTTTAAGATATCAATAATTGTGAAACAAAACAATCGAAACCAGTCATTTTGACAAACGAATGACGAATGGTTGTAAGAGAGACAAGTTAATAAAAGTTATTTAACTAATTAAAATGAAGAGTTGTAAGGACAATTAATACAACAATCGTGATGGTCAGAGTAGGGTGCGTTTCAGAATTTGTTGGAAGTGTGAGTAAGAAGAATGCTTATGGGGGAGAGAATGGTTTTTAAGGGCGGATGGTGAGAGATTTGGAGAGAGTTGCGCTGACTAGAGAAGATAAAAGACCTGTACACTGCGAGCTATATCGTTTCTATTTATTTGTATTTCATTCAATTCTCTATTCCTGTGTTTTTTAAAAATTAATCATATTTAAAACACCATTACCACAGATATCACAAGGAAACAAAAATTGCTCCGAACTGAAATAGCAGTATCGTTCCCGAGGCAATAGGCAAATTATATCCGGAAATCGTGCTAGCAACACTGGAACGAGGTGACCGGGCAACAGGGTGGACTGCAAATGGCGGTGGAGGATTTAGGGGGGCGATGATTCCGTTGATTCGAGGACATGCAGGATTTCCGGCGGTTGCACGAGTTCTGCGGGGACAGGCAGGATTCTGGGGGGTAGCCAACCGACTTCACGTAGGCTTTCAGCCAGCACAAAGGGGGTGCGCGACATCGAGGGGGCGGCGGGGGCGGCGGGCAGCGGGGCATCTTGGACACGCAGCAGGGATCGCAGACGCCACCGGCGCAGCACATCCCGGGGCAGGGTCCACGTGGACAGCCCAACGGCGGACACCTAACGTTGCAGACTTCCGGTTCCGGTTTCCTGGGAATACGAAACTTTAGAAGTCGGAATAACCTTCCAGTGATCATTACCATTATTCCTCTCTTTGCATGGTTAATATGTTGACTGCTGCACGATTTTGCCGAGACAAATATAGAAAATCAAAATAATGTAACAACTTATGCCATTGAATTACGTTGTTATTATTACAGGTTTGAGTTGTTGAATGTCAGTGCATTAAGTTCTATTACTTATAATATAGAAAAGTTTATATATTATAATTAAAATATAAAAATTGTGACTTTGAGTCACATTTGAACTTTTTACTTAAATTTTTTGATTATTTCATATTGCATTTACAAAAGGTCCTTTAGCTTTTAAAATTTGGGTCCTAGAAACAAAAACAACATTTTAATCGTTCCTTTTATTCTCATAAGTGACTGAGAGTCACATCGTGGTATGATTCATTATGAAAACACGTGGTGATTAGGGTTAAAATCATTTCTATCATTTCGTGGTCTTAAACCGAAAGATTTATTCTACATATAAGAAGTTGAGAGTCGATCTAGTGCTTTGAGGATAAAATTGTAATCTTTGGATGTTTAGAAAGCGTTTAATGATTCTCATGGTTGGAAAATTACTTACAGACACTCGATCTTGTCGATTATGTTCAGCAACTCGTCCATATAGTTTCTGTTCTTCTTGCAGTTCATACTTGTTTGAATTTTGTATAGAGGTTCACGGGGAATTTGTAGATAATTTGGTTTCCGAAATATTAGAGAAAATGGACGCTTATATTTGAGAAGCTGTTCTGACAGAAGGATGAACGACGAGGACGTTCATACTTATATACCGAGTGTTCGAATTTTATTGGATTTATTCGAATGGTTAGAAATTGAGGCTTGAAGGGAAAGTTTAAGAAACTTCGAGAGCAAAGTTTGATGATAGTTTCGTGCCTTTAAAACTGAAATTTCCGTGAAGGATCACGGGCGTGGGGACGGGTCCGCCTCGTCAATGGACGGGACTCTATTGGCAGACAGCAATTTGCTGATGAGGACGAAACGCTGCGGAAGGAGCGCGGACAATGGGCTAAAAAAGGAGGAAAAGCAGCAATTCTAGCAATGAGGGTGTGCTTCACGTTGAAAGGGAACAACTATCCGCGATGAATAGCAAATGTTCCCGTGAACCCTCAAACAGTAATACCTTCCTGTATTCACAGGGAGGATTCCCATGAAATACCAGAAATTCCGGAGAAACGATCAAGAAAACTCATCAAAAGACTACCAGAATCAAAGTTTATTTATCAAATTTTAACCCTTTGCACTCGAAAGTTTTCGCACTGGAAATATTCAACATTTTCCGACGAGATACAGTCGACATGGTTTGAAACTAACGATAATTCACAGATAAATTAAGCAACAAAGCTATTTTATTCAAATATTTCACATAGCAGTACAAAGTCGAATTTAAAATACTAAATATTCAATTGTATAGTTTTCCTGTGTCAAATCAAGTGGTGACTGAGAGTCACCTCTCGACTGCAAAGGGTTAATATCGTAGTAATTACACAACATATTCTCATCGAGCACAAGTATAGTTCAACACTAGAACTATCATAACACTCAAAATGATTGGTTTCAGTTTTTCTGTTTCGCAATTATTGATATCTTCGAAGTCTTAAATATTCTAAATGATTTTGAAAACAAATAGTTCCACTTGAATACCATAACGAATATCTCAAGAAACCGAAAATAATCTATCACTACAATATTCATAACAATTACGTTTCAATCGTATCAAATGCTTGGTAATTCTAGTGTTAAAAGACCTCGAAATATTCTTAATATCACCATCAAAAATCACCAATGATCCATCCACAACGGTCCCAACTCGTCGACTCTAAACAAACCTTTTCCTTATAAACAATAAATCATCAAAAACAAAAAGCAAAAGGGTAAAAAAGTCTACAAAAAAACAAAACTTCTAAAATAAACCAGTAGAAAAAGCTTGTACACAAAACCCGGTTACACGAGAAACCAGATAAAAAAATAGATGAAAACGAAGACAGACAACATCGTTAGTAGATCACCGGGGGTTGCAGGTGTCTGTCGGCGATCAGAGTTTCCGGTGACACGAGTTGCGTGTTTGGCATGTAGTCCTGTTTCCTGGCCAGGTACCTCACACCCCCGATGGTCCTCGGCTCGTGTAGATCGGGCCGGCTGTAATGGGCCCCGCATACCGGCGCCGTTTCGCTATCCGCCGGCTGGCCGTGCACGTTTCCGGTCGCATCGCCGCCGGCGCGATCGAAGCCGGCGCTGCTGAGAACGCCGGTCCTCTTTTCGCTCGTCCCCGTGTCCCCGTCCCCATTGTTCCTCCCCAAATTCCTCGCGTTGCGATAATACTGCTGCATCTGTTGATAGTGCTGAGGATAACTCCCGTCGAACTTGAACGGCAGCAGGCTGCACCTGGCGTTGCCCGGGTTGCTCTCGTTGTAGGGGATGAAAGGCGACGCCGCATACCCTAAACCCTGCTGCTGCGTTAAGAAGACCTGATCGTTGCTTGCTACCGTGCCGTTCTCTCTTTCAGCTTGGACACTGTAGCAGTTCCTGGGGTTGCACTTCTGCCTGGGATATTCCCTCAGGAACTCCTGCTGCTTCTTCAGGCTAGCCAGACGTTGCGGGGGAGGGTTGTCGGGATTCCTGGTGTTCTCGAGCCCGTTCGCGGAGATTTGCCTCTTCGACGTCGGTTGATACGGCACGATCAACCGCTGCTTCAGCTCATCCTCTATCTCCGAAGCGTCCTGCATCCCGTTCAGTTTGAACTTTGGACCCTTAGTCAGGTTAGATAGGTACTCCAGTCCTCTCCGAGTATCCGTGGATCCACTCGCTCGCTCCAAGTACCTCCGCACTACTTCCGGGTCCTGCAACCCGTTGTTGCGACCCTGGGGCCGGATACGTTCCTTGTATACTCGGAGTTTCAGCAAACTGGACGGCTCGGTGGTTGGTCGATCCGTTTGGTAGCTACTGGGATCATTGCGGTAGACTTGATGCTGCGAGCTATCGTAGACCTGTTGATCCAGGTGTGGATGCTGTTGCTGGTATTGTGCGCTGTATTGCTGATGAGGATGCTGCGCGTGCTGATGCCTGGGGAAATTCTGTTGGTAATACTGCTGATGGTTCGTAGGCACGTTCGGCGTCGACTTTGCGGAACTGACGTTTGACTGGAACTGTGGAACATTCGAGTGCCAGTTGGGCTGATAGCACTGATACTGCTGATTAACCTGATTAGACATTTCGTTCTGGAGTCTAGCCTCCTCCATCTGCCTAGCCAGACGTTCCTTCTCCCTTCGTTCCTCGTGCAGCTTCTCCAGCTCTGCGTACGACAACCTCGACGGAGTCAGGTGGATCATCCACTCCGGCTTCTCGTCCGTCTGTCTCCGCCTGCGAGGCATCGGCGCAGGTCTCACCTCCTGCGAGTCGCTCTGTCGACGGAGTTCCTCTATGTACTCCAGCTGTCTGCGCTGCTCGCAGAGCAGCAGGTCGAACTGTCTTTTAATTACTTCCATAGGCACACCCTGCTGCCTCATCGTGGTCAGCATCTTCTCTTGATCCCGCATCATGCTCGCTGTAAACGGCAGCTTCGCTCTTTTCTGTTGACTGTTCTGTTGATCATTCACTGGTTCAGAGTTTTGCTCGATTTGACCAGCTGGATGGTTGTAGTCTGGCTGCATTGCCACCTGCTGATTCACGTTTCCAGGGTTCCTGAACAGTTGCTGGCTGGGATGTCTATACAGCTGTTGATATTGAGGTGTCGGTGGATTCGGAACGAACTGAAGCTGAGGATTCATCACGTTGATAGCGAAAGGCTTCAGATGAGCATTGCGAGGATTCGCGTTTCTTTGAATATAGGTCTGGGGATTCTGATTTTGCCTCAGCGTCGCTTCTTGAGGAGAAGTCATTCCTTGCCCAGGTGTCTGCGCGACGAACTGTAGACCACCGTGTCTGTAAAGGTTCCCCTGGCTCCCCGGCGTCTGCTGATTAGCGGGCATCATCTGCATCTGATAGGCCATCGCTCGCTGCTGCATCTGCTGCTGTTGCGCCACGGTTTGCTGCAGCTGTTGATAAGCTTGCCGGGGATTCTGGGGGCTCGGGTAGTTAGGCACCCGGGCGTGCGGTGGGTAATGATTTCGGGCTGGCTGCTGATGGTTGCTACCCGAGAGGTTCCGCGCCATGGACAGTTGGGACTGCGCTCCCGGCTGTTGGCTGCTTATCGCTGTTTGCCTGGAGTAAATACGCTCGGTCAGAGTGTGTACACGCGTTTGCTGATTAGTTGGTGTCCATAAATTCTGATTTTATTATTCACGCGTTACCGCGGTGAAAAGATAACGAACTCACAGAACAACGGCGGAGTTTATTAATAAAACGAAAGCGAAAGCTATAAAAATTTAACTCGCCGACTCGCCGTGTGCGGCCACTTGTTGACTCTCGCAGAATGTTCACTCACGGAATGACCAGTTTCAATTTTGTCGTCCATTTTTATCAACTTTAGCAACCGTCCACGCTCATTCTAATTTATGACGCCCGTGCTGAGCGCTCGCTCTGTGATATTTTCATTTTAGGAAAAATTCTACGATACGGTAAATCACGGATAAATTAAGGAACAAAGCTATTTTATTTCAATATTTCACATAGCGACACAGACTTTAATTTAAAATACTAAATATTCAAGTTCATAGTTTTGCTGTATTAAATCAAGTGGTGGCTGAGAATCATCTCTAGAGAGCAGAGGGTTAATGTTTTGGTATTACAGTACTCATATTACGTTATTATCTAGAGTCTCGTGTTACTAAATATTCTGATTCATCAATTCTCTTATTGTAACTGTTTTCAAGCAATTTGGAAGCTCCGATGACCGTGGCAGTCAACGTGTTAAATCAGTTAGTTAGTTCTTAATTCCGTAATTTCATTAACACTAGGTCTACGGAACGCGTCAATTTGACGCAGTTTGAATTTTATAAACATTATTTGGTAAATGTTTCAATCGGTTTTCATTGCTCCAATTAAAAGAATATGAATCCTGATTGTCTATTTCTGCATCTACAATTTCCAAAATTTAAATGAACGAACATCACCTTCCCAGGAACAATAGAATAGACTGTACAATAAATGCCCGTAAACCTAGTGTTAAACTTTCACTGTGACACCTGTACAACGTTGCATTCCTGCCACCGACAGGTTGTCCGTCGGAGTCGTACTCCGATCCACCGTTCTCAGGTTTATTTTTCTCCTGGCTCGTCGTTGGTACTGGAACACTCGGAGACCGTTGCATTGGATGCTGCATTTGCATTGTATTCTCAGGACTGCGATACAGTGTTTGAGGAACCTTCTGCGGGGAAAACTCGCGTTGCCCATAAGGCACGCAAGGACGATGCGTCTGATTAATTGAGTTCTGATGATGTAGACCGCATTCTGATTGAGGATTCATCTGGCCGATCTGGTGCATAGGCTGCTGGCAAACCTGTTGCTGGCTCGTGGTGTGCATGTTCTGGAAAACCGTCGACACTATCAATCGAACTTCAAACTTTGGAAAACTTCAAGATTGGAATAGATGAAATTTTACGTTAACGTCAGAAATATTTGTAATTTTCTCATGAAAATTATGAGACTTCTGTTTTTGCAATTTCAATCGACTTCTACTTTAACTCACGCGTTACTAAATAGATTTAACCCTTATCACTCCAGGCTGTTTCGTAATCTATCAGCAACTGCAACTAATTTTTATAGTATTCCTAACGAAAACGAGAAATGCAACATTTCTTCTATCTTTTGTATTCCTTGTTAGCACAAAATTCGGATGTGCGGAGAATGTAATAATTCTAGGGTAGTTTCTTTAAGATTCATTCGAATATTTAATATTATAACTGGTGCAATATTGGAGCCTACAGAGTTCAAAGGGTTAATATTTCTTTACATAACTGTATATTTTTTCAATAATAGCAAAGAAAAGAGAATGAACAATTTTAGCACATCTAGTTCCAATGTTAATCGATCAACAACCTGATGATGTTGCAATGCAGGTTGCACTGCCGATTGCGCCGCTCCCGTTCCATCGCCCTGTCCTTTATTCTGATCGGTGGATCCTGGAACGTAGAAGGTGCCCGTCTGATGTGGATTTTGCTGCACGATGATGGCTCCGATTGGATCCGATGTGAACGGCGCAGGATTTTTCAGTCTCTTAATCTTCTCCGCAGGGAAGTACTTCAACCTGGGCGAGGACGTCCCGAAGTCTTTGCTCCTGTCCTGAGAAGTGAACCTGGTCTTCGGGATATACGGCTCGGCAGCATTGTTGGGCGGCTCCTTTTGCTCTGCGAGAGACAAATTCTGCGTGGATGGTGACTTCTCGGGTCTGACTCGCTGCTGCGTCGTGTTCATCCTCGCGTTTATGCTGTTCGCACTGGGACGTCTGTTGGCGGTCTTCTGTTTGGCATTGCTGTCTATCGAGGCTTTTCTGAAACGGTGCATTGTCTGATAGAATGAAAATTACCAGTGCGAGAAGAATTATTTCTCCGAGGATTTTTCAGTGATGTACTGATCTCTTATTGTTTACAACGTTTACATAATTAAATTCTTTAACCAGTTAACTGTGTTTGACGAGTATACACGTGATCGTGAAGCTTGACACGATACTCATTCTTTCAGCGATGAATTCTTTATTATTTCACGTAAACATGTAATTCTTCTTTGTTTCGCTTTGATCTTTCGTTACAATATACTCCACGTGCAATCGTCCTGCGTTCGATGAGTACACGCTCCATTTTTCTATTTTATTGCACGCAGAACGAGAGCTTTTTCCAACTAAATTCCACAGTTAACTGGTTAATTGCAACTTTCAATCTTAGACGATCCTGACGTAGCTATAAGAATGGCAGACGTCCTCGAAGAAACAAAATATCCTTGAATATTGTTGACCCTTTGCACTCGTGAGGTGACTCTCAGTCACCACTTGATTTCCTACAGTGAAGCTATAAAGTTTGATATTTAATATTATACTTCATATAATGCATCAATCTGAGAAATAATTTCTCGTCGAGTTGGTTTTACGAAATATCGTCTTCGTCTCATCAGAAAATGCTGAAATATTTCTAATGAAGAACTTCGGAGTGCAAAGGGTTAAATATTGGATACTCGAGGTTTGCTCGTGAAAGTTTAATTGCAACGGTAACTGCAATGTTATAGTGAACTATTTATTAACGATAACAAGGAAATGTTAGGCTATATACGTGTCTTGCCTCTTGTTCATACTCGTCTGGAATTTAGCTCGGGCGTCTCGGTTCGCGATCAAAGACGCATGGTATTAAAGTGATCAGTGGTAATCTTCCAGGCCCGATTTAGCACAGGAACCGAACGTGGAAACTCTGATTAGCCGGGGTGCACTAAAGTTTCGAAGACGGAGACGATAAAATTGACGAGACGGCGCACATCGGGTTGCCATGGACGCGTCTCCTATCCGAATTTCGCCGGTGTCTGCGCGCTCTCGGCTAACTTCATTCCTATACGTTAATCCTTTGCCGTATGATATCGCGTTAAACTCGTAACAAAGTTACCAATGAAACTCGATAATTATTAAGTCATGCCACAAGCAATGTCGTCTCTTATCTTACCTTGCGAGATATCTTTCAACCCTTTGTACTCGAAAGATTTTTCACTAGAAATATTCAATTTATTTCCATGAGATATAGATGACATTCTTTCGACTAACTTAACGATCTATTCACAAAATAAGAATAATGATATTTTATTTCCACATTCCACGTATCGACAAATTATTCAAGACTTAACCCTTAGCACTCCAGGTTGTTTTGCAATGTATCAGCAACTGTAACTAATTTTTATAGTATTCCCAGCAAAAGTGAGAAATGCTATAACATTTCTTCGATCTTTTATTTTCCTTAGTACAAAATTTGGATGTGGACAATCAAATAATTTTAGGGTAGTTTCTTTAAGATTCATTAAAGTATTTAATATTTTAACTGGTGCAATATTGGACCATATCAATATTATTTTTCTCATATCGATCGTTGATCTTCACAAAACCTACACTTAGGTATAAAAACAAGGAAGAAATTCTATCTCGTATTAAATCGCTAACAAAATAGATTTAACCAGCGTGATATCCAAAGAAATCTTAGAGCGAAGGACCTAACCAGTATCGCGTTCACGAGTCACGCCCCAATTACAACAGCGAAACTCAATTTACCCAAGCTTGTTTTGCAACAGTGCCCAAGGACGCTCACAGAAATTGAAGTTTCAGAAGAAATTCACCCCTATCAGTGGAATCTCGGAAAAATGTAAATGAGAGGACTTCTCGTGGGCGAGTTTTACAATTTTTATTCAGTATCGTTTACAAGAATAGCACACCGACGCGTTCCAGGGTATAAGCTCGCGGCCAATCCTCTTCAACGGTTCAGACGATCCCGTCCGTCAATGCGGAATAGACTTTTCCGTGATATCAACGCTTCGACGTCGAACGCGATACGACCGAATCAGTGATCCCGTTGCCGCATTCGTACCAAAATCTTGACAACGTGACTTGATGCATAAAAAAAATCACAGTATAAAAAATGAATGGCACTCGCTTTTTCTGCGCGCAACTAGTCGAGACGCTGAGACCGGTCGTAGACGCGTTCGTTGGGGAACATCGCGAGGGAAATAATAAATGTGATTTTTTAAGCTGTTCCGGTTAAAATTCGCTGCCAAGAATACTCGTAGCAAGAGATTGTTTACAATCTTGGTTGTATTCGAAATGTATCGTAATACAAATCAAAATAAATTGAAAGTATAAATGAAATCACAGATTTTATGCCAGTGAATGGGTTACAAGATTTGTCATTGTTATAAGAGAATAAGGAATATAAAATTCTGGCAGTGAACGTTAATTTTGATACTTCGTCGTCTCCAAACACCAGCCGTCGGTTTCACTCGCTTCTGCGCATATTTTTAGGGGGAGAAAATACGCGTAAGACCGATGCGGAATCAGACAGGGGTGTTTGGTGAAGATTAGTCTGGTTGAAATCGTTTTTGCGGATCAATTGTGAATCAGCATTGACGAACGGACAGTTTTCCGAATTAAACATTCATGAGGAGCCACCTTACTCTGCAATATAGTCATAAATCGGGGATTATACGAATTGAATAACAATTCTAGTCATTTTCGGGATTTTAGACGTAGTCAGTGTTTCGTCGTTTTCGGTTTGATTATCCGGGTAATCTCTTATTTGATTTATCCACATCGTTTAGGTAAGATTCGTCAGTGTTCCTCGTTTGGGCGATGACACGTTCGGTGAGTCGAGTCCGGGAATAAAAATCGAGTTCGTCGATAATTCAGTGGAGCTCCGAATTCAAGAATAGTTAGACATAATCGAGACTGCAGTCGAATCGAGTTAGATAGTCGCAAAATAGCCGAAGTACTTCGTTCTTTCGTCCATGTTCGGGAAGATGGAAATTTCTGTAAAGGGAATGTTAATCGAATAATGGTATAAACGATAATAAGATAACGGGAATAATGAATTATTTAACAAGTTTACCTTTATCGTCGTAATTCATCCATCCGTCGTTCTCGTTGGATCTCAAACAGCTCATCCCTTATTCGTCCGATCCATTTTCTCGTGGAGTTGCTAGCAAGGGTGCCGAGACACTGCACGAAGAAAATAATCATAACGATGAGAATAACACAATCGCAAGTTATGCATTGGCCAAAGTGATTTATTCCAAAAAATGAAAAATAATAAGATCTAACGAGATGATGTAATTAAGAACAAACTGATTTAACACGTTGACTGCCACGGTCACCGGTGACCGGAGCTTCCGAATTGCTTGAAAACAATTACAATAAGAAAATTGATATTGAATCAAAATATTTAATAACACGAGAAGCCAAGAAGTAATACCAAAACATTAACACGTTGGCGCTGTAATTTCCACTGTTTCCCATTTGGCGACTGAATTCTCAAAATTGATAAAAATATTGAAATCAATAAGTATTTCGTTAGAAATATTTAACATTTTCTAGTTTAGTTAATAGACACAGACGATATTTTTTCAAATTAACTCAAAGAAGAATTGCAAGTGAATCGAGAAACAAAGCTTTTCATCCCAATATTTCACACACCGATGCATTGTATACAGTTGAATATTGAATATCAAATTTTATAGTTTTACTACATGAGTGCAAAAGGTTAATGATCATTTCTAATACTATTTCCCTCTATTACAAAGAAATAAATCTAACAGAACGCTCGATATTCTCACGGCAGTCAACGTGGCGACAAAAATAGAAAACATTCAAGCAGTTGAGTTAATCCCTTTGACCCGCGAACGACTTATCTATGGGCGAAGCTCGTAAGATGCAAGAGGCGATCGCCATTGAGGTATAAAATTATTGGTATCGTGTACTGACTGCAAACTGGTCGACAAGGCGAGCAAGGCGGAGGCGTGGGTGGCGGACAGGGCATACAGGGAACCAGTTTCTTGGTACAAACGTAAGTGACGCACGGCGGCGGCGGGGGACACGGCGGCGGGGGTGGATGACAGGTCACGACTACCTTTGGCGGGCAAGGAAGCGGGCAACACGGTGGACAAGGCGGACAAGGCCGTAGGTAAACCTAATTTTCAGTCGTTATTAAGTTAGCCCCGATGCCAAGACTGTGCAGGCTTAATAAATTTACATGGCAATTAGGTTGACTGCAGTTCAGCCTCCTCGAGGCTTTCATTCTTATTCACCGTGGTCCTCCTTTGATCAGAAAAATCCCTACAGAATCCACCTACCGTTCTCCTTTTCCACCTTTCTCCGAATCTCGCTTTGTTTCCCAGAGATTTCGTAAACGGTATAAGCAGTTCACTTTGTATTATATTTTTTTAACGCACTGGTTAATTTTCAGAAAATTCTGCGGATTTTCAGTGAGACCAACTTATATCACTATAGATACAACTCAGATATATTGTTGTGTAACGTATTTTAACACGTTGAGCGCCACACGATTTCACAGAGGAAAATACGCCGAATGGAAAAAATATAATATTAAATCATTTGATCGAATTGCGTTATTACTATTCCACGTTCATCTAGCTGAGTGTCACTGTATTATGTAGCATTGTTTATAACATAGAAATGTTTTAATATAACCGTCGTTTCATTGAGTGAACTATAATAATTCGATTCGGTCGGGGGCCACCGGTGACCCCCATGGCAGTCAACGTGTTAAGTAGATAATCGATTCGAATCAAATTTAACCGTTTGAGACGCTTCTGTTTATCGGTATCTGATTGGGGGTAATTTTAGTAGAAACTCACTGCTGTTTTGGTCGGTTTAGGGGGACACCGTGGCGGACAGGGGGGTCTGCACACAATGCAGGGCGAGCAGGGGGGCGGCGCACATGGTGACGGATGACAACACGAGGGTCCAGAACAACACGTTGATTTGGGACATTCAGACACACTTCCGCAGCATCCTCTAGACATCAAACAACCATTGTTCCTTGTTAACCCTTTTGTGGGAAACATTTTTTCGTTGAAGTATGCGAAACTATCATCTGAATTATACAGAGGACTCCCAAGTACTAGAAGCACACTAGTCTTTTATTGTTTGAATAATCAAGTCATTTGCTTGCGTCATTCTACTTTAAACAAACAAATATAATGTCGCCGATATTGGTATTAACCTTTGCACTCCAAAGGTGCACTCGATTGGTGCATAAACATTGCAAAATTTCGTATTTAACATTAACCCTTTGAACTCTGTAGGCTCCAATATTGCACCAGTTATAATATTAAGTATTTTAATGAATCTTAAAGAAACTACCCTACAATTATTCGGTTTTCCACACATCCGAATTTTGTATTAAGAAAGAAAATAAAAGATCGAAGAAATGTTGCATTTCTCATTTTCGTTAGGAATACTATAAAAATTAGTTGCAGTTGCTTACAGTTTTATTTAGTTTTATATAGTTCTATTACTTTTATATAGTTTTATATAGTTTTATATAGTTTAACCTGGAGTGCTAAGGGTTAAGTCTAAGGAATAAAATACCATTGTTCCCCTTATTTTGTGAATAGATCCCTCGTTAGTTGAAAAAATGTCATCTATATCTCATAAAAATAAACTGAATACTTCCGCTGACAAATTGTTCGAGTGCAAAGGGTTAACATTCGCGCTGAAAGAGTCAAAATCTCAGTATCTACCCGAAATACCAAAGAAAATGACCGAAAGCTGAATCAGTAACCATCTAGCAAACATTGCGCGAACTACACGCAATCTTGTGATATAGTCTCGAGGAGGATAGCAAGAGGAAGCTTCTCGCTATCGAACCGCACACGCGATCCTGATCAATCGTGTATTCCTCGGAATGACAAATGGATTTATAGCCGCGCGGCAGGCTTTCAGAGCGTTCTGATTTCAATCGGGGCGCCAATTTATCAGGATTCAGCAGATTCCGCGGCAGATAAGAAGCAAATTTACCTGTTCATCACGGCGTTAGCGGGGCACCGGTGCTGCGAGCGGAATTACGCCGACATATTTCCACAGGATTTCCATAAACCCGCGGTCTGTCATCAAAGCCCCGATGATGGATGAGCTCCTACCCAACGAGAGACGACGGCATCGGTGCGCTCCGGGATCATTCGTGCACACTTGAAATTTTGCTGGCGACGGCCGAGGAATGGCCTGGTTCATCGCTAATAATTTTCGTTGTTTCGCCCGTCGCCCTGGCGACCAGACTATCTTCTGTTCGGATCGCTGTTTCGATCTGGCGAGAAAATATCGCGAGGAAATTGTTTCCCGAGCGTCGCAACTGTCACTTTGATAGCTGAGATCCATTAGAATTCGTTTATAACGGCTATAAGAGAATTTAACGCGTTCACTGAAAATGAAACTCTCGGAGCTGAATTCGATAAATATAAGTGTTATTCTTCTCTTTCCAATCGAAATTGAATGTTATCTTTCTCTTGCAAATATTTCATCTGTGTAGGAAATATAGATTCATAATAAACATGGAATTCTTTTATTTCTAGTTAATTATGCAGAGTATTACAGCTTTAATACTAGATTTACGGAATGCGACAATTTCATGCGTATTGAATTTCATAAATATTTGCTGAATGTTCATATCAATTTTCATTGATACCAGTTGCACGAATAAATATCTTGTCTGTTTTCAAATTCCTAGTTTCCACGATCCAAATGAACGAACAACTTTGTTATCAACAGTAGAATAAATTGTACAAGAAATATTTGTAAACTTAGTGTTAACACTAGAACTACCGTCAAAATGACTGGTTTCGATTTTTTTGTTTAGCAATTGATATCTTCGAAGCATTCAATATTCGAAATGATTTTAAAAATAAATATTATACAATTTTTATAGGAATTGCATATTAATCGTATTAAATGCTCGGTAGTTCTAGCGTTAAAGAAGATAATGCGAAAGAGCTTAAGAGGTTAATGATTCGCCAGAAAATTACAAGAAATGAGCAGGGATCATTTGTGCCATTTATTTTATAGCAATCGCTTCGTTTATTTATCAAAATCCATACAAATTCGTTCCGAGCTTGTTGAACAAAGTAGTAAACGATTCTCTGCGTGCATAGTACGTTCAGCCTCGATGTGTTCGACACCCTTTCGATATTATTAGCGACCTAGGCTCGCTCACTGTAAAATAATCTCAATTTACGTATTTACCACGATGCATAAGATATTTTAATATCGAAATGGAAGATCCGACACTGATTTCAAATATATACACCGATTGGTTGATTACGTGACTCGCTTTTCTTTCATTCATTTTATTGTCGCGGCAGAAGCGAAAGGGTTAAACGACCGAGAATATTCATATCACGCAAAATCCAGGGCCATTCGGTGGCTGAGCCGGAATTCCACGTCTGTTCATGCGACAGGCGTGTTCCTCGAGACGCTGGGCCGCCTCGTTCTCGTCCTGCTTGATGTTGCTCCAAAGACGTTCCGCGGTTGCGCTGGCTCGCGGCCATATTCTCGGGTGCACGTTGTTCCTGGAAAAGAAAATTCGGGGTGAGTGGTTTGCTATAAAATTTTAGAAAATTGAACTTCCGAATTCGTCTCTTTATAATGTTAAAGTTTTAATCCTTTGAACTCTGTAGGCTTCGATATTGCATCAGTTATGATATTAAATATTTCAATGAATCTTAAAGAAACCACCCTAAAATTATTCGATTTTCCGCGCATCCAAATTTTGTATTAAGAAGGAAAATAAAAGATCAAAGAAAGGTTATAGCTTTAATACTATAAAAATTAGTTTCAGTTGCTGATCGATTATAAAACAAACCTAAACTTCTAAATTCGTCTGTTTATCATGTTGAAATTTTAAACTTCTAAATTTGTATGTTCATAATGTTAAAGTTTCAAACTTCTAAATTCATCTGTTTACAGTGTTGAAATTTTATACTTCTAAATTTGTATGTTCATAATGTTAAAGTTTTAAACTTCTAAATTCATCTGTTTATCACGTTGAAATTTTAAACTTCTAAATTCATCTGTTTACAATGTAGAAATTTATACTTCTAAATTTGTATGTTCATAATGTTAAAGTTTTAAACTTCCAAATTTGCGCGTTTAAAATTTGGAAACATTGAAATCTCTTAAAATTCAAGTTGGTTATTCATATAACGAACTTGCGAAGCAGCGTGTCGTAATCTTTTCTTTTCGCATTGAGAAGCGCTATCACGGAGAGGACGATAATTACTTGTCGACGAATTCTCCCCACATGCAGGCCTCCCCGCCGAGCATCAAATTGGTCGCGTTCTTAGCGCCGTTAAACGCCATCGGGTCGCATTTATAGAACTTCTTCCAATCGCCGCCGCCAGCGATGTAGTTCAGGTACCAGCAAGCGGACAGCAACACCGGATGACCTGCCTTTGTCGCTCTTTCCAGCTCTTTCGACCAGAGGCCGGTCCACACGTGCACCACCGTGTTGTTCGGCATCCACACTCCGTTGTCGAACACCTTAAAAAATTACAATGTATTATTTACAAGGTATTGCTTTAAAAAATTATGATGAATGCCAAGGAATTACAAAAACTGCAATCAATGCTGAGGAATTACTTAAAAAACTACAATTAATGCTGAGGAATCATTTATAAAAACTGCAATCAATGCTGAGGAATTACTTAAAAAACTACAATCAATGCCAAGGAATTACTTAAAAAACTACAATCAATGCCAAGGAATTACTTAAAAAACTACAATCAATGTTGAGGAATTAGTTAAAAAATTACAATTAATGCTGAGGAATTACTTATAAAAACTACAATTAATGCTAAGGAATTACTTAAGAAACTACAATCAATGCTGATGAATTACTTAAAAAACTACAATTAATTCACAGGCAATTGCTTTAAAAAGTGGCTTTTAATTCCAAGCAATTGGTTAAAGAAATTACATGTAAAATGATTGAATAAAAGTATTTAACAACGTAAGTAACAAAATAATAATAAAATGGGACTCACAATACCAGGTAACTAATATTTATGTTTATTTACCTTCACTACGAAATAATAAATCACATATGAAACGTCCAAGATTCTCACGGCAATCAACATATTAAAAGCGTTTAAATAAGTTAAATATAAAAAAGAAATTTACCTCCTGCCATACGATAGATTTCGATTCCAGCGAGTCCATGACGCGGAAGAGCTTGCGCATGTATTCCGCCTCGAGCAGCGCGTAATTCCTCGACATGTTGTGCACCTTCATGTACGTGTTTATCTCTGGATTGCTCTGCCAACAATCAAAGGGAACCTCGTCGCCGCCCAAATGGACGTATTCATCAGGAAAAACTTGAACGATCTCGGCGAACAGATCCCGCAGGAAATCGTATACAAGAGGGTCCGTTGGATTCATGGGACCAAGTTTCCCATTCGCGTTGCCGTTCGAGTCTGTCGCGAATTCAATCGTTTATCATCAAAATGTATCTACTTGCAAAAGATAAAATAATTTCTACATCATTCTCCGTTAACATTAGGTTTAAGGACGTTTATTGTCCGGTTTATTCTATTGTTCCTAGAAAAATTGATGTTCGACCATTTGGGTCTTGGAAATTAGGGATTTAAAATTAGATTCTTGTAACTGCATCAACCAAAACCGACATAAACGTTCGCCAAGTAATGTTTATAAATTCAGTATGCGTCAAATTGACGCACTCCGTGAACCTAGTGTTAACATTAGGTTTCCGGGTATTTATTCCACCTTCGATTGAAAATATATCTGTTCATTTGGATCTTGGAAATTAGAGGCTTGAGAATACAACTAGGAAATATCGTGCGATTGCATCGAGTAAAGTTGGAGAAAGCATTTACCAACTAATATTTATAAAATTCCTCATCCGTCGAATCGATACGTTCCAACCTAATATTACTAATTTTGAAAATATAATATCTGTTCGTTTGGATCTTGGAAATTAGAGGCTTGAAAATATACAACTAATATTCCAACCTAATATTACTAATTTTGAAAATATAATATCTGTTCGTTTGGATCTTGGAAATTAGAGGCTTGAAAATATACAACTAATATTCCAACCTAATATTACTAATTTTGAGAATATAATATCTAGTCTTTATCTAGAAAAGATAAAATGTATACAAGTCTAAAGCTACGGTGATCTAAGGACCCGAACGAAACGGGAAGGCTATAAGTGCCCTTAACAGTTACTAATTTATTAATAGTTACCAAAGCAAGTAGTCAAATATTGCGGGAAAGCCAAGCCCCAGGACCTGGTGTGTCCAGGAGTGTCGAATTCGGGCATCACTCGAATTCCTCTCAGCCTGGCGTAGTCCACGATCTTCTGTATGTCGTTCAGCGTGTAGATCATCGATGGATGATAGGCTCCCTTAGCGGACAACTCGGGGAACCTGGAGCTCTGATAAGGGAAGCTGTTGTCGTCCACGATGTGCCAGTGGAAAACGTTCAGTTTGTTGTAAGACATCGCGTCCAGGGTCAACAGTATGTCGGGAATCGGCAGATAATGGCGGGACGTGTCCAAAAGGAGACCGCGATGGGGTAGCTTCGGTCGATCCACTATAGTCTGACACCTTATCTTCAACTGTACAAACTCGCCATGGTGTAGTGAATCGTCTTCGATGTGAAAAATGTTTCTAGAAGCTACGCAAATTTTGAGAACTCACGTTAGGCCCGTCGCCAGCTGGGAACAAGAGCTGAGAGAACGTCTCGAGGCCTCGCAGCGCACCCCATACCGATTCCGCCGTGAGGTGAGCGACCGTGGAGAACTCGCTGATGCTTAGAGTGTCTGAAAATCAAATTTAAACTTCATGCATCATTGCGTATCGAGAGTGCATCTATCGAGACTTTAATTGATTTACAATTCAGTTCGTGTGTAGGTAAATCAGTTTCTTTAACACGTTAAGAGCCATGTCAGTCATTGGTGATTGACGCTTATGAATGACTAGAAAACAATCGTAACATACGAGACAACCGATGTGAAATAGAAATGTTTAATAAGTCAACTAAGTTGGTAATAGTGTAACGCAAACGTTGCCACGCCAAACAATTCATAAGTATTGCTACTTTTCTTTGCTACAGAAGACGAACTCTATGGGAAAACGCTTAAGATTTTCGTGGCGCTTAACGTGTTAACCAGTTGATCGCGAACCGAGATGCTTCGCTTTATTTAAGCGAATTAATTTTCTATATTATAAATAATGCTACCCATTGCGGTGACATTCAGTTTGACGAACGTGCAATGGTAATAATCCAATTCAGTCAATTATTTAATATTACATTTTTAAAATTGGTTCACAATTGAAGTTAGAAATGAAACGAGTCTTCCATTTAATCGTTTGAATATTATACCGCGCTTCTCCTGGTAGATACTTCAAAGTGTTAAGCTATCAGCTCATAGAGTCGCATTGAATTTATTTATTTATAATTCTGCATTTTTCTATATTTACTTTTCCCATTTCCTGGTTAGAATGAAAAAGGTAACGTCCGAATGTAGGAGTGGCTGTCTTGACACTATCGTGTCAAGTTTGCCGCGAGATAAGTCTGAAAGATTAGAATAAAAATATTTTGTAAACACACGATATCTGTTCCGCTGAAACTTAAACAGATCGAAACTGACATCATCGACGATTATTTTCCTCCTTGTTCATCGAGTTCATTTCTTTCCTGCTCAATCGGGAAAGCACCTACTATCGGAAACGCTTAATAAAAACAATAAATAAAGTGTCTAGGAAAAATATCTTCGGAGTGAATTACGAGTGCGAAGTATGAAGCTTTCGGAACTGCTCAAAACGAATTTCAGATAGTTTATAATGGTACAGAATATAAAATGATCCCATCGAAACGCTTAATTGACTCTTAGTTTCAAATAAATTTCTTTATCAGGTTCAGTTTAACCCATAAGTCCGTGTAACTTTGAAGTCGCACATCAATATACCGGGTGAAATTGATTTATTTAATTTTTATAGCAAAATGACGAACGACATTAAATGATTAATCAACTTAAACTTTTGTACACGCAGGCGTTGACGTTCAACATCATTGTAACTTCAAAGTTACAAAATATATTCAAACTATTGAATACATTTCTAACTTGTGTTCATACGTTGATATTTATTAATTCCATACTGCACAAATTTTGTTATAATCACGAAACAAAATTCGGCGCATAGAGGGTTAAACCCATAAAAATAATGAAGCTACACCCGTAACAATGAAGTAAAATTCATTCTGTAATGATCGTTTGATGGTTAAGTTAAACGGAGATTTTTAAAATTAATGTATACCATTGCATCGTTTGTTTTCTAATTTCTGTTTCACGGAGTTAATCGTTTCGGCGAATGAGCGGCTCATATGTTCTATCGGCAGTGCATAAAAACACTAGCAACACGATACACGGGTAATCGTGTTGACAATTACTGTCAGGGACGGTCGAGGCGGAACGAAGCGAGAAACGCGATGGAACTTAATCTTGGCTTATCGCGTTCAACTCCGAGGTCGAACCGCGCGATTAGCGAGAGAAATAATGTGCGGCGATTATGCGTACACGCATTCTTCTGTTCCATTCGTTGAATCGACTCGAGTCTCGGCTACGTCTTGCTGTTTCTCAATGAGCGTTGACCGAGCGTCGCGTTCGGGGTCCACACGACTCGTTCCACGAACTTTTCGGCGCTCGAGATTTAACTGACATTTTCGATTGAATTGGGATGAAAATTGAAGTGTACTTTAACCGTTTGAGTGCCAGGGGTTTTTAAGAAACCATGGTCGAAAAAAGGCGACCAACACAACAGCGTTTTCTGAATGGGATGCGAAAAGATTCAAGCGGCGCAATGGCGCTTGTCTTAATTCATGTTAATACTATTATATACCTATACTAACCCTTTGAACTCTGTAGACTAATGTTGCAACAGTTATAATATTAGATATTTTAATGAATCTTAAAGAAACTACCCTAAAATTATTCGATTTTCCACATCCAAATTTTGTACTAAGGAAAATAAAAGATCGAGGAAATATTATCGGTGATTTAGCGATACGCGAACTGAATTGTAAATCAATTAAAGTCTCGATAGATGCAGTCTTGATGTTGCTATAGGAAAATTTAACTGTTCGGTAGGTTTAGTGTTACTGCGTACTGGCAACGAGAAATCTCGTTTTTATATAAAGCCACTTAGCCATGCAATTTTCCTAATTACTATAGTACTTAGAAGAATATGAAGTTTGATTCAAATTGATTATCTATTTAAAATACATTACATAACAACATGATATCTGAGTTTTTGTACGTATAGCAATATAAGTTGATCTCACTGAAAATTTCCATCCGAAAAATTCACTTTTCAGGAATGTGTTAACGTTTAACAGAATTCACTTACAGGATTCCTGCATCTGCAGATAGGGCCAGTGATTACCGTCCTTCTCGCAGGGCTCCAGCACACGAAAGTCCAGGCCGGTGAGCGTGCCTTTGCTGGTGGCATTTTCTCGCGAGGATCTCGCGTGTCCCTGCGAGTAGATCTTCGCTATCCGAGATTCCGTCAAAATGATCGCTTTGTATCTCTCGATCGCTTCCACCACTATATCGCATGTTTCGCCGACTACCTGGGTTGCATAACGGTACAGTTATTAAGTGACTAACAGGTGTCGATGTATTCGCAGCTGGATGTCATAGCACATAGATAATATTTTTGCGACATTAAATTTTTACAGAACAGAGTGTATCGTTTATTATGCAAAAAACTGTGTGCAATAAGTAAATAAAATTTATATTTCTATTAACTATAATAAGTACTTTATTATATTGGAAAACAATCAATACAATAATAGTGTTATAAACTATTGCTTTTTTTTAGTTGTTCATAACAGAATTATTGTATTGATTGTTTTCTAGTATAATAAAGTACTTATTATAGTTAATAGAAACATAAATTTTATTTACTTATTGCACATGGTTTTTTGAAATTATTGCTCTTTTTAGTTATTTCCGGAGTAGCACGATGTCTGAATATTAATGCGAGTCAGTGTACAAAGAATTGCAATACTCGACCTTCTACCGTTGTCTTACGATAAGCAGTGCGCATTTATCAGTGGAAATGATGTATGTACTTCCTATCTTTTGTTCTTAGGAAAAGTTACTTTGCTTCGTTCCATTCACTTCCGTTTTCCCATGTTTCCCCGTATTCGTAATAAATAGGCACGATGAATAATGGTAAAAATTGAGGAAGCAAACCGTGTAACGAATACTTTAGCGAAGTTTAATTCAACCATTTCCACTCGAAAATTGTTCAGTAGAAATGTTTAAGGTTTTTCGATAAGATATAAATAACATTCTGTGAAACTGACTAATGAAAAGATACATAAATTAAGAAGCAAGGCTATTTTGTTTCAATGTTTCGTGCATTGATACTTATACGAAGCGTATTACATAGGAGTTAATTAATTAAAGATCACCTTCAATTTTCTATGTAAATTGCGACAAGACCTTATGGTCAGCCTACTGAATTTACAATTTACTTTATTCAGTAACTTCTAGATACTAATTCGATCTCAATTAGTTGAAATATCAGTTGAAACAATATTCTGATCACACTGATGCAAATGACATTGAATCGATTCTAATTCGTCTTTAACCCTTTGACGAATGTCGACATTTCGGCGAGATCAAATTTCCATATTTGGAAAAGTAAGTCGCAAACAAATGATTCAATTACTCAACCAGCAAGGGATCAGCGTACAATTTCCTTCCTTTCTATTTTTTAAGCAATCGATATATAATTTAACCTCATCTGCCGGAGGTTTCGTATATTCCGCAGAATCTTCGTCCGCAAAGGATTAAAGTACACGAAGCTTGGAACATTTGAAGCTAAATTATACATCGACTGCTTAAACAACAGTAAAAAGGGAACTATACACTGATCACTTGCCATTCAAGTAATTAAGTCATTCGTGCAACTTAGTATTCCAAATATGAACGTTTCATCTGATCAAAACGTCGAAATTTATCCGCAAAGGGTTAATTCGCCGATACAAGTTGGTACACCAAAGAGATCGGCCAGTTAACAGGTTGAAAAATGAAGCTATCGTATTTTGGTACGCCTCTCACGTGCGACCGTTAACGCAAGAACCGGCGGAACGAATCCGTGGCGGAGAGTTCACGGGTTCACCTGTGCAAGCGCTGGCGCATATGCACACATACAACGCTACGTCGGCGCGCAACGCGATTCTGTATGCCGTGGGTGATTTCCCTCGGCCTCTGTATCGATAGGAGCGTCCCGCAGGAAAAAGAAAACGTACACACGCGATAACACTTATCCACGTAGGCGAGGCGAAACTTTTTACTTCGTCCCATCAAGACGAAATAAAAACGCAGTGCTCCGATGCTTCGTCTATATTCAAACATACCGAATGGAAATCGGAGAGAGATCTCGAGATCTGATTATATAAACATACACGGTGCGGCGGAGTGTACGTTCAGAGATAATTGATTGATTACGGTAATTACGTTCTGATGAAGAAAAAGGAAACGAGAACGGTTTAATGACCGTTGATTTATTATTCTTTATGTTATACAAAGTTGCAAGTACGTTTTTTCACTTTTACACTGATTTATTATCCTTTGATCGTGTAAAACTGCAAATTTTCTTTACTTTTACACTAGGGAAACAGATTTTTGTGTACCAAACGATCTCATTTGTTAAACAAATTTGAATGAACTCCGTGTCTTTTACACACTCTGACAAAAGAAGGAATATTCATCTTGCCAACGCTAACATTTAGAAACCTCTCAAATCTCATTTCTCCAATTACCTATAATCCTCTCTCCATAATGTATCACTAAAACTTCCGAGCAGTTGACTCTTTGAAATTTCTCTATAGAAACCCTAAGGGAGCATCTGTCGAGACCTTAATTAATTTCGTTTGTATTGCTAAATCAATTTCTTTAATAATTTCTCAGAGAAACATCTTTATCTTTTCAATCATCGCAAAAGGAAGAAATCAGAAGTGGCTCATTTTGACTAGTCCGATAATTTTATCGTCAACTCATCACCTAGATACCTGAACAATCTCTAATCTATCTCTTCCAAAATCAAACTCATCCAAACATTCGTATCATCTATCGAAGATATCCATCACACATCTACCAAAAATAAGAATTCCTAAATCCCTTATCAATCTCTAATCTATCTCTTCCAAAATCAAACTCATCCAAAGATACCAATTTCTTTAATAACTTCTCAAAGAAGCATCTATTATCTTTTCAATCATCGCAAAACGAAGAAATCAGAAATGGCTCATTTTGACCAGTCCGATAATTTTAGCGTCAACTCGTCACTTAAATCCCTTATCAATATCTAATCCATCTCTTCCAAAATCAAACTCATCCAAACATCCGTATCATCTATCCAAGCTATTCATCACACATCTATCAAAAGAAGAATTCCTAAATCCCTTATCAATCTCTAATCCATCTCTTCCAAAATCAAGCTCATCAAAACATCCGTACCATCTATCGAGGATATCCATCACACATCTACCAAAAAATTCGTTTCCCGTTGGTACTCACGTTGAACTGAAAGGTGGACGCTCTAAGCAGGTAATACGAGTTGGTGAGACGCCTGATGTTCGGCTGGGGCCAAGGTTCACCCTGCGTGGACTGGACCCACGGGCCAGCGTCCGGGTTCAGCGCGTTCGACCGGCAGACGAGAGCTGCCAGCAGGAGCAGCGATATCATCCTGGTGGCCATCATGTCCGTTTCACGAGCCTCGTCTCAGGTGTTTTGCGGAGAAGAGCGATTCGATGCGACGCCACCGAGTGGTCATCGTCTACTGAACGCGGCGAACGATGCGTACGAGAGTGGTAACGACCTTAGCCTGCGCCACTTAACTTTCATCAGTTCGGCCGAGCCGGACTACTGCCTCACGGTCAAGTATAAACCGTGCGGAGCTGGAAAGATGGCTCGGCGACGCGATGGCGGGGGCAACGCGACGACAGGAGCAATCTTTGAAATGTATAAAACCTTGAATACACGAAATAAAATAATCTCTTGTCCGAGTAATTAAATCATTTGCGACTTAGTCTTTCGAATATGAACGTTTCATCTCGAACTAATGAGGAAACATATGTAAATTAAGAAACAAAGTTATTTCATATAAATATCTCAGATGATGCATTGTACGAAACTTAATGTTATATATAGCACTTTGTAATGAAATTGAAATGTCGGCATTCGTCCGCAAAGGGTTAAACAATAGTAAAATGTCGGCGTTCGTCCACAAAGGTTTAAACAATAGTAAAATGTCGACATTCGTCCACAAAGGTTTAAACAATAGTAAAATGTCGACATTCATCCACAAAGGGTTAAACAACAGTAAAAAACGGAACTATACACTGATCACTTGCTATTCAAGTAATTAAGTCATTCGTGCAACTTAGTATTCCAAATATGAACGTTTCATCTGATCGAAATGTCGGCGTTCGTCCAAAAAGGTTTAAACAATAAAAAACGGATCATTTTGACTGGTACGATAGTTCTAGTGTAAAACAACGCTTCCTTCTTCTTTCTTACTATTCGTTTATCCAGCGAACGACGGAGAGCTCCTTTTATTTCTTATAGAAAAACGTCGAAACTTTCGCATCGATCCAATGGTTGTCACTGAAAACAACCGGCTTTTAGCAAACAAGAACGAAGTAAGGAACGAGGAGTCAGATGAAATAGAAAAACTAAAGCTCTGGACGGCGACTGTCCGGATGAGTACAGTAGGAATCGTTGGACCGTACGTGTCCTTAAGTGTTATTCTTCCCGCGGAGTCCGACGCCGTCGCGTGATTGGACGGCGCATCGTTACGCGAGGATCTTAATCTTTGATGGTACGTTGTGACACGGGATAGGAATTTTTCGACGGCCACTGCCGCGGAAACCGTTCCACGTTGGGATCATTGGACTACGACGGTATCGCGGTTCTACCGAGATACCGGGTATTTTTAGAATAGGATGTTGTGGTCTAAGGGACGTGTATTTACAGGTTTCCGTTGATCTTAGATGCTGGCGATCTAGCGTAGAGATTTCGGAAAGGAAGGCACTTGGCTGTGCCCCTTTGCTAATTACCGGCATTTGTAAATTAATTTGATTCCTGATTATCTATTAAGAAGATTTGTCGAGCAACGAACAACAATTCGTTTGGATGAAGATAAGCAGTTGAAAGTGTAGATTCTGTATCGATGACCAAACTGATCGTTATAGGAAGGGAAACGTGTTTACTTGACCAAAGATAAGCGGTCGAAAGTTCAGAGTTTGTTTCGATGCTTCAGTTACGGTTTCAAGTGGATCTAATCTAATCATTGACAATTAACACATTGCGTACCGGCTAATTCCCAGAGAACCGAATTCTGCGGATGCTGATTTTCAACATCAACTTATATCGCTATGTATAAAAAAACTCAAATATATTGTGTACGTACCATGTGTTTTTATAACGAATCATACCACGATGTCTCTCAGTCACGTATGAGAATAAAAGGAATGATTAAAATGTTATTGTTTTTGTGTATAGGACCAAAATTTTTAAAGCCAAAGAAACTTTTGTAAATGCAATATGAAACAATCAAAAAATTTAAGTAAAAAGTTCAAATGCGATTCAAAGTCACATCGTGGTCCGATTAGGGTGAAACGAGTTGATTAAGCAACATGTGAATTGAAATCATTGAAATCAGATTTTGTTAGACACATTTTCCTAAATGTACCAGTCAATTTGATTGCTCGCACGTTTTAATCCATTAACCGTTTGAATGCTAAACAACTTTGTGGATATTTACCAAAAATGCTGAAGTGATCGGGTGTGTAAAGAAATTAATAGGAGTACTTATCTAATGAGATCATGAATATTGTGTTATTACAAAAATATCAAAAAATAACATTTATTCAAATAAATTTACTTTATTGTATATATTATTATTATATATATAATTATATTATATTATATTATATTATATATTATATTATATAATAATTTATATATATTATTATATATATATTTATTTCTCGAAGAATATAGTAAGAAAATTATAATTGATACTGATAAACAGAAGCGCCTCCGCGCTCTCCGCAATTTTGGTGCAACACAAGAAGAGCGCTATAGCGCTCCTCAGCACTCAAACGGTTAAAATCGACTGTCTCTTAAATTCAGATTATACATAGATCATAGAAAGACACTCAGGCACGATTCCTTCGGTACTTGGAGTCTACGAACGACGACGCGCCAAAAACGCGCAGACATTCGTATTCGAAGACATACGCAGCCAGCGCGTCGCATTTAAATTAATTGGAGAACAAGTCGGAGGCAGAGAGCAGCGATCCGCTCGCGATATCGCCGGCAATATCGAGGCAGCGCGGCAGCAGCCGGGTGCAAAGGTCGACGATCGCTCGAATAATCGTGGCACGCCGATGAATCGTTACGATTACGCTGCGCTGCGAACGCGCCGAGTGTCTTATGCCCGCGTAATCGTAAACAAAATCGCTATTCGGATCTGTCGAACGAATTAAGTCTCTCGATGATTAACTGATTAGTTTAACAGGACGGCCGATTCGCGCAAACAACGCGACGCGTCGTCGTTCGAGAGGCGAACCTGTTAATGATTGTTTCTCGCGCTAGCGATCAACGGTCAGATCAAGTCAGATCCAGTCGTAATCGTTGCTAACGCATTCGCAGTTGGCGGTACGGTAGAGTTATGTCAAAATTTATTAACTATCCAGTCGGTTCGCAGGTCTGATCGGCAACAGTGATCATCTGACAAAAAGAATCGTGGCTAACGAACAATTAACCCTTTGCACTCGAAATATTCAAGTTTCTGGACAGGAAATATTCAACATTTTCCGACGAGATACAGCCGACATGGTTCGAAACTAATTTAACGATAATTCACAGACAAATTGAGCAACATAGCTATTTCATTCAAATATTTCACATAGCAGTACAAAGTCTAATTTAAAATACTAAGCATTCAACTGTATAGTTTTGCTGTGTCAAATAAAGTGACTGAGAGTCACCTCTCGAGTGCAAAGGGTTAACCCTTCGCAGACGAGAATTCTTGAAACTTCCGAAAACCTTTTCCATAAAACGGAGTTACGCATCAAAGTCTCAAATACTAGAAAAAAGCTGCACGTCAGTCTTTCGTTACTCGAATAATTAAACCATCCACTCGCAACCTTCGAATTTAGATATCAAAGCTTAAAATCTCCATCGCGGTGACATTAGAAAATAATGCGACTCGTAGCAAGAAATGAAGACATGAATGGAAATCGGAACCGAATGAAGCTGCAGCGTGAAAAGTTCGATTTTCTTGTGACGATTAACATCTGATTTAAAGCTGTCGTTTTTTTATTGCAATGTAGTTCTCTTCACTGAACGAACGAGGAATAAAATGCGTATATACATAATTCACGGAATTTTATTGTTTTCGATCGTCGACTGTAACCGATCGTGATCTCACCGTACCGTTGACCGTTAGTGTGAATAGAGCCTAAATCGCCGCGCGTTGCGTTACGTCCATTGTCGCGGGCCTCGCTCCAATGCACGGACGCATTTGCATTGAATGCAGAATTTTCCTACTGCCCGTGACCCGTGTGCATCATCGCGCCCACTTCCGCGGGAACTTGTGCTAGAAGGCGATCTCTCCGAATCTGTAATAGGAGATTCGGTTCTGTTTCCTTTAAGAAGTGCTTAAAGCACGTGGCCCGATGGTGGACCATAAATTAAGTGCCCCATCGCTGGCTGCAGACAGTCACAGCCGAACCATCAGCGTTTTGCTGAGATCGAACTTCCTCGTTTGCAATACCCAGTTTCGAACAAATGATTTAACTGTTCGAACAGCGAGGAATCGGTGCACAGTTTCCTTATTCTCTATGATTTGAGCATTCCGTGTTTAATTTAGCAGAATTTGCAAAAGATTTTGTATACTTTCGACGATCTACATCCTCAAAGGGTTAAACCGTGTCTCGATAAACGTATTCTTTATTTTCCATAGTAATCTTACTGTTTCTGCACCTCTGATACAAATCTCAAAATTACAACAGAACTGTTGCAGTTGAGATTTGTTGAGAGTGAGCGTGAAGTATATTTTTAATGGCCGCGAGGTATCCATTGCAGTCCTCTGTTTCGCGGTCAGATGTTCTCCCGAGGACAGCCGTCTTTGTTCAGCAAAAAGCTCAACCGTTGAACCGAGCTCCGTTTTTCAGTTCCTGTAAAGCGCCGTACTACATACTTTAACCCCTTGCACTCTGTAGGCTCCAATATTGCACCGGTTATAATATTAGATATTTTAATGAATCAAAGAAACTACCCTAAAATTATTCGATTTTCCACGCATCCAAATTTTGTGCTAAGAAGGAAAAAAAGAGATCGAAGAAATGTTGCATTTCTCATTTTCGTTAGGAATACTATAAAAATTAGTTGCAGTTGCTGATAGATTACAAAACAACCTGGAGTGCTGAGGGTTAATCTACGTTAATACTATTATATACATATATTAACGGTTAATAAATATGCATTTAGCTTTTCAAACTGCGTTGTTTATTTCTACAAATAAATATTCAACACGATCCATCAACGAATTTCGTTCGATGATCCTCTCCGTGATCCACGCGAGTCCTCCGAGCGTCGGGTTACTTAGGATTTCGAGGGTGGATCAGCGATACCTGCGGCTGGTACAGGAATCTCGAGGCAAGGGGTTAATTGCACTTCATAGCTTCATCGGGTTTTCCGTTATTATTCGCGTTTGACGCAGAAATTCGGGAAATAATGTAGTAATCTAACTGCATTTCGTTCAGCTTCGCTGCGACGCTGTTAACGTTGCAACATCGCAAAAGTTGTAACGTCAAAGTTACAACGTTGTTATTATGGTTGCCTCGGCGAACG